CCAGTGTTTGATTAGAGCACGCGTTGAGCGATTTGGTGTTTCCTCCCAGAGCATGCACTGGGGCCCCTCATTCCGTTAACCACGAGTGGCAGGACGATGGATGTGCGTGCACGTGGCGGAAAGTGATGGATTTCCGCCACGAGGTCGAGTCATCCCAGTCACAGCAGGGGAGCTGTGTCAGGGGAGCTGTGGACTCTACATGTCCACCATCACCTGCCCCGTTGGACACCAGGCAATAATGGGCAAGCAAGGCAAATAACTGACAAGAATGGGTGCTAGTAACCTTTGAGCAGTGAGCTTTGTTAGGCACCTGTAAGACGAGCTCCAAATAGTTCAACACAGGTGCAACCCTGGGAAACATGGGTGGGAAGAGATGCCAACCTCACCCCCTCAGGTTGCAACGTACGGCGACCCAACGTCGGCGCGTTGACACACGACGGACCAATCCAGGGCAACGAATCTTTAAATGGGCGGTACAAACAACTATTATGTGTGATTGTCGATAAAGTGCATTAGATTGGGCTCCGCTTCCGTGGCTTCTCCGAGAGCCGCTCACTGTATTGGTCATGATGCGCAGCATTACGTGCTCGTCCCATTGTCAACTGACCAATGGGATTGCGACTATAAGGAACACTAATAAGCTTAACATATGAGCTTTCCTTTTCTATTGAGAATCAATCCTAAGTATTAAATGCACTCCATAGTTGGTTGAACCCTCAGTCTCGCTCCTTTGGCAATATTAGTGTATTTTGGCCAGCAGCTATGGCTGCGTTAGGTTCTTCACTCCTCAGACAAAGACATCTACATCACGGCCGGGTAGGAAACACTTTTATTAGTTTCCTTGGAAGCCCTCATGTTCTTGTTGTCTCACAAGGCAGGAATGCCATGCAGGTCGGCATAATGCTGCGCCCAGTAATCGTTGCACAGCTTGGACTTAGGTCGATTTTGCGGCCGACACAGGCAAGTCCTATTGTGTATCAACAATTGATTGTGCACGAGAGGTTGTTGCTTATGCCTTGCATAAATATGCCGCAGGCTATTGTTTGCCCGATGAGGGTTTACACGCGGAAAGGGTCGGCGTTTCCACGAAGACACCGACGTAGCGGAAGGCAGCTCGTTGTGCGAGCTGTAGCCATGGTTAATGTGGATTTTGCAAGTCCATCGCTTTTGCTCGGTACCATGTTGATTGGGTGCGGAGTTCTCCTCCTCAATGTGAGGTATCGCCGCTGTGCCTAAGCCTTCGGCATGACTTCCATAAGAGCTTGGTTGTCCTGCTCCTTGCAGCTTCGAAATTTCCAAAACAAGGTATCGCGAGACGCAGATATTGTTGTGGCGGCGATGGTCAGCATTGTTGGCAGCACGCTCATCTTCCAGGGTTGGCGCCTGGATCCCCTTCTGCTCCTCTGCCAGGCATTGACCACATCGGTTGCCTTCTGGTATGGGCTGGAGACGTTTCGGCTACGGTCAAAGGAGGCGGATACGGTAGGTAGTTCCGGTTCGGCGAACGGGGATGGGTAATTTAGAAGCACCGTCATGGGGATATCCGGGCGGAGTTGATGGTTTAGAAAATTTTCGAGCGCGTGGTCACTTCCGGTCATGATGTACATCTACTTCGGGACACGAACACATACACTGGACTTTGTTTGATGCACGGCATGTCCATCGTCGTCCCTTTAAGAGTTGTTGCCACCCAAACATTCGACGATTTAAGGACAGGAGGCCGTGTATGGCAGTGTATATATGCATGATGTACGACTGTGTTTTGCCACATATATGTGTCGTGCCTGTTCGTTTCCGTTTCCCCTCGCCTGATTGCCCTCCCTCTCCCCCATCAAGTAACGTCCCTGTTATCCCCAACCCACACTTATCCGCACGTCCAGCCGCCGCCGCAACTACCGCCAGGCGTCGGACCGCCAGATGCCGCACCGCAAGATTTCCTACAGCAAGCCGCTGCCGCAGCAGCGCAACAGCAGCAGCAGCAGCAGCAACAATATTACCAAGCCGGCCCGGGGTTCCCGCCCCCTGGCTCGGGATTGCCGTACCTGCCGCCCGGGAACGAGTCGTACTACCCATGGGGAAACCCGTCGGACGCCGCGGCGTCGACGTCAGACCAAGCGACCGGACCGTACGGCGAAACCATCCAATACGACTATTACGGCAATCCCATCATGCAGCAGCAGCAGGAACCAGTGTACAGTGGCAGGGGTTACAGCAATGTAACGTTCGGGGGGGCAATGTACGGCGCGCCCGGGGATCCGTACAGCCGCATAGGGGAGGGTAGCGACAGCGCGTACGGCGGTAGTGGCATGTACGGCGCTGCTGGCGCTCCTGAAAGCAGCGGGTATGACACGAGTGGCTCGACTGCAGGGAGCCCGGGGCCGTCGTACGCCGGTCCTTTTTCCGGCCCGGCGGCGCCGCCGCCACCACCTGGCGTGTCCCAGACGTCCGCACAGCCTTTTGACGGCTCTGGGCCTGGGGCCCCGGGGCCTCTTGGGCCTTATGGGAGGACACCGGGGTTTCTGTACGACAGAGGTTTCGGCGCAGGCTCCTTGTCCGACGGCGGGCCCTGGGGTCCCGATGCAGCTCCTCCGGCGGCGGCGGCGGCGGCGGAAGGGGGAGCTGCTGGCGGGCAGCAACCTAGCGGCGGCGTTAGCGGCAGTGGTATTGGCGGCGGCGGTGTCGCGCGGGGGAGAGGCGCCAGCCGTCTCGAGTTGTACGAACAAGTAGACGACTGGGAGTAGGACGAGCGGTGGACGAGCTGTTTTTAAGCGTGTGCGGATGTATACGTGGCTTGTCTGGTGGCCGTGTGGGTGAATCATGAATGTGAGCTGTTAGTGTAGGGGGGGCTAGAGTCTGGGAGTAGAGATATTCCTAGGGCTGCGCAAGAGGTGCGGGGAAGGGGAAGACGGGTTAAGGCGGGAAAGGGAGACCGACACCGTTACCTGGGTGCATGGGCCTTGCGGCCGCGGTAATGTTGCCGGGGGGAGGAATTGGCGAGTGAGTGTTGGGGAGCACAGGATGCTCTTGGCGGTGATGCTGGTGGTGGTGGTGCGAGCCAGGGTATGTGTGTGTGTGAATGATGATGTGCGTTGCGGAAGGCGTGGCATGGGGGCCAGGGCAGGGCAGCTGAGGGAGGAGGGGCGTTTTGAGTCGCATGGCATTGCTGAACCTCCTTGTCTGGTGTGGTGTGGTCTGGTGTAGTGTAGTGTGCATCATCTCACCCCTTTCCTTGCGGTGAGGCTGCACTGGCGGACCTTAGCTGTTGTAGGATGCGGTGGGGCAACTGGTTTGTGTGTGTGTGTGTGTCTCTTGCTGCCCTGCCGTTCACGTCGGTCAGAATCACTTACACACACGCACATGGACGCACACACATACACGCATCCATGTCTATGTATGTGCATATGTGTATGTATGTTTGTTTGTTCGGCGGCGGCGCACTGACCTCCTAGAACTGCTCAATTTGGACGACTGTTGTCGCCGCCGGCCGCCACTCAGCCGCTGTTACAGCAACCGCCAACCGCAACAACAATACAACTCGAACTCCTCAGGCTTGGGAAGGGCGCCCGTTAAAGAATTGGCTGGTTGGCCGGTTGGTGTGTTGTTGTACGGACGGATGGCGTTGGCGGCTGGAGCTTGACCGGGAGTGAGTTAAGTTTGTGAGGCTGCAGGAGGAGGAGAGGGGATAAGGGCCTCCCAGCCCCGGGCCCCCAGCTGACACGAGCACACAGAGCAGGGGATTAAATGTACCCTCCGCTTTTCAGTTCTGTCTCTCTTACTTTTTGCAGCAGCTGTTGCGGTGCACCAGACGACCGTCAGCGTCAGGCGCATCCCTCCCTCCCTCCCTCCCTCCCTCCCTCCCTCCCTCCCTCCCTCCCTCCCTCCCTCCCTCCCTCCCTCCCTCCCTCCCTCCCTCCCTCCCTCCCTCCCTCCCTCCCTCCCTCCCTCCATCTCGTGCAGCAGCAGCACCACGTGGTGGCAACCGGCAACCAAGCATTGCAGTCAGTCGTGCAATGGATGGCCCAGTTGCGGCCTCTCCGCCTTTTAGGCAACATGACCATCATCATGATCATCATCGTGCAGGTGACCTGACCACGTGCTGGGCCACCATTTTGCATCACCATAATCATCATCAGCACCATCAGCAGCAGCATGAATGTTTTTGCCATCAGCACCATCATCATCATCAGCAGCAGCAGCAGCAGCATGAACTCGTTGTTGTCACCTGAGGGAGTGGGCGCGAGGAGGAGGGCCTCTGCCCCACCTCGGCGTGGCGACGTACGTTGTCCAGCAGTCCAGGGGCCGGACTCCTGCCGCCCGAGGAGGGGGCGTGTAGGGGACATGATGATCTTGAGGATGGATGATGTTGGATGGATATGGATAGGCTGGTTGGGGGTATTGGTTGGGGGTCCCTGCTTACCGTCCTGCTTCGTTAGGCTTACCGTCGTTTTCCGAACGGATTGTTCATGTATGTTACACCTTGCGTACCCTCCACATGTGTAACGGACCCATACGAGCCGGGCTCAAGGGCTATGTATGTATGTATGTATGACGTTACAGGGTGGTATAGCTGCACCAGCGGCCCCCTTACCCGAGGCAGTGCGAGAGGGGCACCCTAATCCATTCACCCCATCCGACTTCAGAATGTATTCGTTGAGTTCAGCAACTCACCACCTGCATCCAACCAAATCTAGCAGATCAACGGCACCACAACTTCGTTCCTGGTCAGCTCACAAGTTGATATGATCACGTCTTATACTGTCCACAAGATGAGGGGCAACCTCCCAATTCAACACCGCTCACGCACCGAGGGATCAGTAGGCGGATTTGAACCCGGATCCTCCGGGAGCAGGAATCAGGCTTTAACTTCTGCCAGCCACCTACCGGTATGTATGTATGACGTTGATTACATTGTGGGCTTAAGCGCCGGGGGGCCCAGGGCCGAAATACAGAGCGGGGGGCCCAGAAGCACACGGCTGGTTAGTCTCCTGCATTCCGCCCATACCCGGGTCAGACCGCGCAAGGTGTGACTGCCGGCACTTGGGTCTCTCTCTTTGTCGGTCTGTTTGTCTGTTGCACATTGCATTAGTACGGCAAAATGTACAACGACGCTCTCCCCTTACAAGCATGTTGAAGATATCGTACAACCGACGTTGTACGTTGTTTCAACCGACAACAACGGTGTGCCGTTGTTTGTTGTTTGTCAGTATGGCCGCTCTCTCTACAAGATTTCCGTCCTAGGAAAACTACGATGGGACCAACGGTTGGGACCGTTCAGTCTTGTCTGTCGCAAAATAGTGGCATGTATCTCCGGTGCCGCCGGTATGTGTCTATTTATGAGTGACGCTGGAATGTGAATGCATGAAGAGGAATGGGGGGAGAGGAATGGACGTCCGCTTCCTACAGAACATAGAAAGCGGTGTCGGGCGGGTAGCAGTGCGTATGACTTTGTCTAGTGCTGCTGTGGAGTTGAAAGGTTGTTGGTACGGAGTTTAGTTTATAACTCCCATCACTCAGGGTTGTTGCCGCGGGGTTTGGTTGCTGGTTGGGTTGGTTTCTCGGTTGTAACGGTTATTAATGGACAGCGAGGAGCCACCGAAAGTACTTTCGCATTGCTGCCCGACTCCTGTAAATGTAGGGTGGGGGTGTGGAGGGTCTGTGGTCTATGAGGTGTGGTGTGATCCCGAGGACAAGGTCCGGCGTGCATGTCAGATGGGTGGAGGCTTAAGGCTCACGGCTTTCGTTTTTGTTTATAACGGGACCGAAAAAGCCATAAAGCAACATTACAACCTAACAGCAACCCCTAACGTAAATCATGTTGCCATGTCAGGACTTTGTCGACAGTCTGCCATACGTATGGCGTATGGCGTATACGCACATGCGTTGTCGATGCTACAGTTGTATGCCGCGACAGCCATATTTGGCCCTAGCGGGCCATTACTGCAGTTTTGCTCATAGGTCATAGCACAGGTGTGCGGCCGCCAATCCTCTTGTCGCCTCCAGCTGGCCAACGCAGCGTTGTTGCTAAGTACACGGCCGCCAGGTTGCGATCCCCTAATCATCGCGCCGCCACTGCAAGCTGCCTACGCGCACCACCGCGCATCCGCCAACTACATGCTCTCGTACCGCCTTCAGTTCAGCGGGCCGTTGATGCGGCCACTTGCTAACACCACTGCCGCGAGGCCGTCAGCACGCTCTCCTGCAGTGGGGCAATACCAAACTGCCAAGTCGCAACGCTGCGCGCCTGCAAGTTTACCAACTGACTGTTCAGCTCAAAATTTATTGTTTTAAGCTGTTATTCGACTGGGCGCTACCACTGTCAGCTGGAAAGTTGCATCCGCGCTGGCATCTGGATAGGGGGCCAACAATGGAGAAGACAAAAATTTTGGGGACTGATGAATACGCATAATAACATAGTATTAAATAAAGCGCTTCGCTGCGAGGAAGCCATTGGGCTTGGGAAGATACTGTTTGCTCCGACCGTTGTAACTTTTTGTAACCGTAAGCCGCTTCCCCTGATTTTCATTGCAACGTAGGTTACGCGCATGTTATCGCCCATGGAGTCGAGAGTTATATGCTTATTTGTCCGAAATGATGAGCGTCACATCCTATTATCGTGCTACTTCAGGCGCCCCATCTAAGCAAATGGATGATAAGTGCCGGCGACTCCTTGCCTCTGATATAGGAGCAGAGGAGAGCCAACTCAAGGTGGGTGCGCCATAGTTTGCTGTATTGTATTTAGCCGGTGAACTGTATGATAAGCTTGTGGACAACAAAGGCATGCCTGCGTAACCATGTTATTCTACATAAAACGCGAAATATTAAAATGCAGTCTTGCGCCACAGAGAACTGACAAGCTTGCTGAGGCCCCCAACCAGGCCTCCAACCACCTCCATCTGCGTCGCCTCCCTTGTCCCTCACACAGCAGGCTGATTCATTCTTCGTGATACCAGGGTTTGTCCACCAGTCGAGCCTCATATCGGAAGGTAGCGCTGAGTCTGGGTCATCAACGTCCGGACGTTGCCTGCACTGCACTTCTTTGCCGTGGATTGAGGGACGGAACGCAAGGCAGTGGTCAGCCCATGGACTTTCGGTGCCCTCCGAAAGCATTCCCCAGCTTGACGTGGTACGTGTATCGTGGACATGAAGGGCGCGGGACGATTAAGGCTCAACACCGTTGCATCATCATCGTTGAGGACTACTATCAAGGATGGGCGCGAAAACAGGGAAACTTAAAATCATCCATGCGCGGTGTGGACCCGTGTGCTGTGCGGCTGTGTGCTATGCGTCCTCGTCTGGCCATGCGGCCACCAGTAATCTGCGCCATCTTTGATACGCCCCACTCTCGCTTCGCAGTGCACGTCATCTCACACGTACCTTCTGGACAAGGAACGGTCCATACGTCGACCATCCGTTTGAGTGAGTTGCTTGCGGAGCTTAGGGATCAGTTAATGTATTTGGCAGCCCAGCTGCAGCAACATTTGCTGGATTATTGAGGTGTCCCACAGTAACAGCGTGAACGTGGAGGTGTTTCATGAGGTGCATTATGGAATTATGGAATCTCCCATGCATGCGTGGGGGCTTGAAATGATGGCGGTGCACTCGACACCTAGCATTTCAGGAGACAGGTGTTACGGTTTACGGCTATCGACGGGAAAGTACCCTGACACAAACAGCCTCACCTGAAGGCGGCGACCATTGTGCCGTATGTATTATTCCCCCACCACCGTCACCAAGCATTGAGTCCCCCTCCCATAGGAGGTGTATAGATTGAAGATGATGACATTTGCTACTTACCTAAATGTTTACCTTTTTTCTGTTTTACATGCTTTTGCTGCTGCTGCCAGCTGGGTGCAGCTCTCAGCAAGCAGCATGTTGACCACATGTCCCCCGTTGAACATGGGGCAAACGGGGGTTAAAGCAGGCGGCAGAGGAAATTTCAAAGTGACAGCGCGCACATGTGTGGCTCTTTGCGTCTCTGTGTGCGGGCATTCAGTCGAAGTAAGTCGCTTGCATTGGAGCTATGTGTGTCACTTGGCGCTGCTCTTGGAGGTCGATTCGGTCGGATAGCTGTCAGCTAGGTTGTCAGCCGACCGCTGCTTTTCGCGAAGGCTCATCACCATTAACACATATTCTTGTATATGGAACTGTGGGCATGTGCAATTTAGTATATGTATATTAGGGGACACTGTCTGGCGCAGCGGCCGTGCTCAAGTGGTTTCTGCTTGAGGAAATGGGTGTGCTGCATCGTATGGTTCTTGTACTGGTAGGCAGGGCAGACCCGATCGACCTGGTCCTGCCACTTGACAGGACCGACACTGAACCCAAGGGTGCTGCATCCAGCGCATTGTTTCCGCGTGCTTGCTGGGTCGTCCGTATGTATGTATCCGCGAATGATTAGGACGCCGGAACGTTTGAGGGTACACGTATGTGACCATAAGGTTAGCATCGGCTTTCCTCCCTGTGCTTGTCAAACATGCCCGCGCATGGATGTCCGCTTGTCTACTGCATTGCGTCCGAGCGGCCTTGCTCGTCGGAATGATGTATGATATGCAGCTTTTTGGATGTGGGTCGTTGTGTTTTGCGTGTGCACTGCAACTGCAATTGTTTTTGTACGCTAGCGTGTCGGGCAGGGCATTTCGCTGTGTGTTGGAGTACTGCATTATTCATACAGTGTGGGGCGCCAAATGTGGGCGTGCTTTGGGGAGTTAAGCTAGCCCCGTGCGTGTTGTGGAGGGCCGCAACCCAAAATGCATGTATTGCCATTGTCTTTTGTTTTGGGTTGCGGAGGCAAGCCATTGCTTGATGCTTATCTGTATGGGAGCGGCTGAACGGTGAAGTTAGCAAATTTTTTGCATCTTGTTGCAATCCTGTGGATTACGCGATTGTCAGGTGCGGCGCCGAACATGCCCCGGGTTGCCAGCTGTAGGGGCTTGTGGGCATGATTGTAGGAAGAAAGCCTGTTGTGATGAAGGTTCCAATCCTGTTCGTTGTTAGGTTTTCGTTTGTGAAGAAAATGTAATTCGCGTTGGAGCCTTCCTTGGGCTTGCAGCTGGCTGCTTGGTAACGTGCCGCTACGCGGCTGCACCGACCTACGCTCAGCGTATGAGCCAGAATACGGCGACCACCTACAGCTTTGCCATGTTCACGTACTTGGTGTTTTGTCATCCCCTTCGCGGCGCTTGGGCATTGCGATATATAAGACATGAAAGCATGAGACAAGACTGAACGTCCTTCTGGGTTGAACCGCACAGAGAATTAAGCAGTATAAAGCCGATGAGAAGCACGACATGCGCGATGTCGTCCGATTTGCGGTAAGCACAGCGCTGAAATGGGACGAGCTTCGACCAATCTTAAAAGGTGGAGAGAACCTGAGAGTAGCACTGGGGGAGCGCAGACAGTTGCAACTCACGCTCTTGGAACGTGGGGTTGACCCTTAAGGCCGATATGCATTAGAGACGGGTTGATGTCAGCTTCACATCGACAGCATGTCCAGGGTTTAGGGCAAAAAGGTGCGTCCATGCGGGTTTCCGGAGGGTTTCCATGCTAAGTTCACTACGGCTTATCCTTACTTACGTGCATGGCGCTTAGGAATTATTGCGAGCAGGGGCGACCCCAAGGTTTTTATGACGTTTTAGAGCAAATGACGTGGGTGTATGCGTGCTGAACATCGTTCCCGCGAACAGAATCTAAAACACATTATGTGTAGTTCTCTAACTGCATTGTGTTTTTATGTGTTAAAATTTACATAACTCTTAAGGTGGAATACCCTATTAAGTCGAGAAAGAAGCTTTCGGTTCCCTGTACGAGGAAAGCCGTACGTCTATATAGTGTCCTCAGCAACTCTGACTTTTCCTTCTTCAGCCGTCAGTGACAGGTCTCTCTTTCGGGGCGTCTGACTCGCGGCTAAATTCTTCAAGGTTAGATTGCAGGATGTTTGGCCGCCACAAAGTAATAGTCCCTACAGCTGTAGGAATCTTGTCGCCTATGCAAAATTGTTTCAACATGATGTTTAGAGCATTTTATTTGTAAGGTTATCACGTAGTGCTCTGCTCTGGCTTTGCAGATGGCGACTAAGCTCGGTGTTGAGAAGGCTGGCGTGGAGGCGGAGGCTCCTCAGGTGCACCGTATCCGCATCACCCTCACCTCGAAGAACGTCAAGAACCTGGAGAAGGGTAAGGTGTTGTTTTGCTTGCACATGAGGGCGGCGCCGCAGGGTGTTTGCTTGCTTGCAGTAACAGCAAGAAGCGATTTCATTTGTGGTGGTTATGTGCAGTATGCGCTGACTTGATCAAGGGTGCCAAGGAGAAACAGCTCAAGGTGAAGGGCCCTGTGCGCATGCCGACCAAGGTGCTGCGCATTACCACGCGCAAGGCGCCCTCTGGTCAGGGTACCAACACCTTCGACAGCTTTGAGATGAGGTATGTATGTGCTTTTTGGTCAAGGCTTGCTTTGATATATCCGGCCAAATCCATAGTGCACTTGCGACAGTACGCCGACCGAACCCCCTAAATGCCTGGTGTTTCAGGATTCACAAGCGCCTCATCGACCTGCACTCGCCCGCCGACGTGGTCAAGCAGATCACTTCGATTAGGTGGGTAGAAGTTTTGACTCGTCAGTACGTGTTGTTCTGGGCGAGCCTCCCGCTTGTTGGGTCCTAGTACAGGTTACAGCTCTGTCGAAGACCCCCGCCTGGTTTACATGTTGACATAGATGAGATTGGGGATGGTCATTATACCGCATGTGTACGCATTCGGGAGGAATTACAAGTGCCGACTGAAGCCTGGCATGTTCACTGTTGAACGCGGCACGTTGTGGGCTGCCGCTCGTGACGTGCTTGTCAACACATGGGGATAATGCATGGATATTGTGACTTATGTGGGGTCCAAGCGAGTCTGGATGACGATATCATGCCATTCGGGACTCCTTACCTGCTCCTTGCCCGTCCTCGCTGCTCTCGTGTTTGCCATCTGCAGCATTGAGCCCGGCGTGGAGGTTGAGGTCACCATCGCTGACATGTAAAGCTTGGATTTATGCCGCGTACCCTTCCGGTCCATTGTAACGCTTCGGAGAGGAATGCTTCCCGTGTCACGTCGCCGATTGCTGACTACATCATTTCAATCCATTTCGAACATGCGATTTCGTCAACAACAAAAATGCTTAATAACAGACAATTGAACGTCCTAGCTTTGGCCTCAGATGGATGAAACTTTGTTGGGCCACACGACATGGACCATGGGTCAGTTTCAGTACTCACTGGTACGACTTCTTTTTAAAATAAAGTACGTTTACCAGCTAGACGAATAACATAAAAAGTCTGTGATGCGAAATTGGCGCTGGTCGTCAGAAAGCCCTTTGCTACTGCTTCGGCGTCACAAGTGTACATAGGCCTCTGTCTCGGCCAGGCGTCAGTGGGTTGGTGGTTATCAAAATAAGCTATAGGACGTAAAAGTGCGTCGCGGAGAGATGGAGAAATATGGCACCGATAAGGCAGGCGTTGAAGGCGGCGCCAGCGGCCAAATCCACCGCATTCGCATTACGCTTACTTCCAAGGACGTGAAAAACCTTGAGAAAGGCAAGTTCACTTCGCAATGGGTACTGTCGGTATAGCGCCGCGGAGCACCTGTCCTCCCGGCTCAAGTTGCAGCGGGCGCCCGTCCGTCCAATTTCTGCCCTTCCCTTCTGTCTCCTCTGGGCTCCGTTGCATAGCCTCAGCGCTCGAAGCGGCCGTTGGTCGTCCCGCACAAGCGCTGCTGCTTTCGCATGCGACTCATGACCGCAATTCGCACATAATTACTGCCGCAGTCAGTGCTGACCTCATCAAGGGCGCCAAGGACAAGCAGCTCAAGGTCAAGGGCCCTGTGCGCATGCCTACGAAAGTGCTGCAAATAACCACGCGCAAGGCGCCGTCTGGTCAGGGAACCAACACCTTCGACCGCATGGAGATGAGGTGCGACTAGCAGGAAGCTAAGAATGTAATGGAACGGCAGATGACGAATAAGCATATATGAATTTGACCGCGTGGGTGGGACCGCGTGGGTGAGCGAAGGCACGCATCGGCGAAATCATTTTGATGCGTTGTCTTAAAACATGTCCGGAACTGAGGTGCCGTTGATCTGCATGGACCCATAAAACTATTAAAACGCGATAGCCCTCTACCGCATCTGCAGGATCCACAAACGCCTAATCGACCTGCACTCGCCCGCCGATGTTGTCAAGCAGATCACCTCCATCAGGTAGGAAACGTGCTGCGTGCGACGGATGAAGCAGGGCACTCGAGTTCTATAGTGGCCAGTTGGCGGATACTGCTGAGAGTCCTGTTTAGTTCCGCTGCATCAGTATATAATGCCGCGTATTGGTTCATAACCCATAACCGGCTGGGGTCACCTGTTTGTCTGTTATCATGCCATGTCACGAGGGGGAAACTTCGCAGCGCGGTCGTGTCCCGGTATGCGCAAGTTCCGCAAAGACACGAGGGTTATGCGGCACTGCACTGCCGCCCATGTCCCCGGCGCATGGGCCCATGCCGCCCTTGCCAGCCCCATGCCGCCGACACCGCGGCAAAGCTTGCCAGAGTTATGGGTGAAAGCGGCCCGCCCTGCAAATCTTTCCTGCTTAATCCGTTGCACCTTCCGCTGCAGCATCGAGCCCGGAGTCGAGGTGGAGGTCACGATCGCGGACGTGTGACAGCTGTGCTACTGGTTCAGCAAGGAAGATCTTGGGGGTACCTGCGCAGGTGGCCAAAAGGTTCTGATAGGGCCTACATTCGTCAAAGCCATCTTCATACGCACATGGCTGGGGCGCATTGTCGGGCGGCCACCTGCGGGTCCCTTCTTCCTTGGCAATACCACAGCGGGCCCACTTAACACGGTACCCGGAAAGGCAACCGGGTCATGATTTCCTGGGGACTTTATCGGCCCAATGGCGTCTGTTACGGTTACAGTGGTAATCGTGGAGCGTGCGAATATGGAAATAGCAAATAAACATAAAGGATGTGCTCCAAAAGCACTCCAGGGTCCCGGCACGCATAAGGGTTGGTATGGGGATTTAGGTCTTTTGTTGTGGGCGCCTGTTTTCTTGAGGCAGGTGCTGTGGCGTATTGATTGCCGAAAATGTCACGGCAGTCCAGGCATTGTACCCCCGAAGTTGTAGGGTGTTGTTGACCCTGGTGAAGCTTCGTACTTTCCCAAGTTCCAATCACGTCCCATCCGTTGTATCACATCCCAACGCACACGTGCAGCTTTTGCGCGTGCAGCGTCGGGTGCCGAGGGTCTGAGGCTGGAGATTGATGCTCGAACACAAGGCACAGCTCTACTGAGATCCATTTGCACTGTTCACAGCAAGACGAGCAAACCGAACATCAGTATAATAGAGCAGCGCGATCTCCTCACCACCAGACGTAAAGAGAGGTACCATCTAGCGTCCCATATTTAGTCCAGCAGCTCCACACGGCTGTGCAATCCATTGAGAATCATTCGGGTCATCCCCAACTCTTCCTTTGCCACGTGGCCACCCCGATGGACAGCGCCAACCTCGCAACCGCATGGAACGGAACAACAGAATTCCCCTTCGTAGCTAACAGTCTTACTTAGCCTATTAAACTCCTCGCTAATTTCCACAGCAAACCTGCGACCGCGCCAATGGACTGGAGCCGCGCGCACGGTATGGCGTTTTAGTCCCCCATTCTTCCCAAAACCAGTATGATACGCGTTCAATACGTCCACGCCGAGTCAGTACCGCCACGTGAGCCTCCATGAAGGCTCCACTACCAATCAATCCGGGCTGACACCTGTGCCTCTAATCCCCACCATCTCACCCCTGCTCTTGCTTGCATTTGTCGCACAGTGTCCAACACAGAACACGACCGCCAAACGTACACATTATAAAGCATATTTCCATTCCCCTAAACCACGAGCTCGTCATTCTGGCAATGGCATCGCTTAGGCAGCGCATGCAGAAGGACTTAGTAGCGCCCGCCCGCGCCAGGAAGTTACGGTCGTGCACACGTCGCCTCACAGTGAGAGCGCGGCGGAGCGGCGCATGACTCGCGTCGCCGCCACCAGATTTGCCATGAAGATCAACCGCACACTTGCGACCTCGATGAGGCTCAAGTGCGGCAGGTTGACAGTGTGGTTCTGAGGGACCTATCGGCAGCCACAGATCGCATCGCAAAAATGACGCGAGAAGGTCAATGGGGTGAGCGGGCACACAAGTGTTAACGGATTGAGGGAGAAAGGGCTCTTGACCAAAACTTTTGTTGGTCAGCAGGCGCACATTGTGCAGCTGCAGCAGGATTATTGGCAGCTGTATTGGCAGCTGTATTGGCAGCTGTGCTGGACATCTCTCAATCACCCATATACGTCACCAGGAAGAACGGACTAAAGTCTGTCACCTCGCGCTCTATCACCACCTTGACTTGCCTGCCGAGACCACATCCCCGCATAGAAGTGCAACACCCCGCAAAAGCGAGGGTACACGCCGCCCTCCGTCTCGCTGTGAGAGTGCCCTAAAGAGTTTCCCTCGGAGCCCACCCTGTGACATGAACCCGCACCCTCTTCTCACCGCGATGTCGTTCACGGTCACAACTTGGCGGCCCATGTTGACAAGCCGGAACTGCCCATCCGGACCTAGCCGGATGATGGCCTGACGTCGGCTCACTACGTGACCCCGGCAGCCAGAGCTGGCTGACTGTGTGCCCGAGGCCGGCTCCGCACCTCCGCTCGAGGTACCGGCCGGAGCCTGTTGCTGCTGCTGCTGCACCTGGCCTGGCCCCTGCTGAGGGCCATGGAGCCGTGTGTAAGACATGATATGATGTGCGTTCGTACAGCACTGTTTGGTTTAGACGCGCGTGAAAGGGAGTCAAAGCCCGATGAAAAGTGTGCCATGCCAATTGAGAAGTCGGTAAGTGGTGACAAAGGGACCGGCAAGCGTTGCTGATCAGCTACTGACAGGGGGCTCATACAGCGTTGCTGCACAAGATGGACAGCTCAGAATGTGCAGCAAAGCTGCTGCCTTGGCAGGTCATGGAACGGACGCCAGTCGCTCTACGCCGGCGAGTAACCCGATTCACAGGTCATGAACAGCCAGCGGAAGGAAGGACAGGAACAGCGCAGTGGCGAAGGGCCGTCCGGCGCACGCCTGCTTATAGCCAGCCACAGTCCAACCACAGTCGCATTCCACAGCACTTCGGGCCCCGCCGTGCTTCCCCCCATCATTCCGGGTACCCTCTTAACTCAGCGCCCGCTATATCGCAGACAAAGGTCGTCGCGCTGTGCTGTTTGCGCATTCTGCCTGGCTTCTTTTGAACGCCTTACCTGGTCACCGCCGCCGGTGGGCGCGGCGGGCGCGCTGCTCCCTGGACCTTTCACGGGGGGTTCCTCGGGGGCCAAGTCCACATCCACGTCGCCTTTGGATTCCGTGATACGGCCCAGAGTCACTGCCGTACTGCGCAAATAGTACTTTGCGGTCCGGCCGGCCAGGCAAGCGATGGCGCCTGCAATTCCCATGTATGGGGATAAGCAGCGGAGAGCCAGTACACGCATTCAGTAAGGGCACACACTTCTGTACACCGGAACTGCGGCCTGTCAACATGTGCACGGTAAAACGTCCGTAAAGCAATGAAGAGCCCATCGCTCGGAGGCGAGCCCCGTGGCCCCTTGTGACCTTAGCGCAGGACAGCGTGGCAAAGCTGGTGACGCTGTCCACACACGCGCAGATGCCCTCATGCTTACACTGGGACGACACTCCAGAGCGAGCTTTTCCCGAACCGCGTCTAGAAAACCTGGCTAGCTAGCCTTCTCACCTTGCGCCTCCATGTCTTCCTGTGCCACCGCGCTGCAAGTGGCCTCCAGCGCCTCTAGCTGTTCCCGTGCCGCGTCCCCACCACACGCTGTTGCTGGTCCACTGCCTGCTGTAGCTGCTGCATCAGCAGTCCGCACCGCCTCCAGTGCTTCTGCAGCGGGCGTCTCCCCTTTCGCGGCTGCCGTGCCCTCGCCACCGCCACTGCTGCTTGCGGCGCCAGCAACACCCGCCGAGCTCCGGGGACCTGGATCGGCGGCATCCGACTCCGCAGCAGCCGTGGCACTGCCTCCCTTCCCAGTGGCCACGTTGCCCTCCAATGTGCCGCCGCCACCGCTGGCTGCTGATGGCGATGGTGCTGCTGTGCTGCCATCCGCAGCAGTTGTCAATGCGTTCCGGTGCTGAGACTCGCCCTGTTGACCTGGTTGCTGCTGCTTATCTAGTGGATCATCCGTTTGCAGCAACAGGACCTCCTCCTCAATATCGGAGTACGTGTCAACATCGCCGTCCCATGGCCCAGCGGCTGACTGCCGCTGCATTCGCTGCTGTCTCTGCGACATCCGCGCCTTCGGCAGCAGGGAACATGAGATATGTGTCAGGGCCGTTAACCACCTTCGCTGAGGCGGGTGCGGGAAGTGTTGCAAGGATAACTGATAAACGTGAGGGTGGGGGGTCCGACAATACAAGGAACAAGCCTACAGCGACCTGCATACAACCATGGCCCCATGCCGTACTTGTATCCGGCCTCACCGCAGCATCCACAGCGGCCCCACCATCCTTCCAGAGCTCTAGCCCGCCCTTCAGCTGAGAATGCTTAACATGGCTAAGCTGACCTGCCAAGGCTCCAAGCTCCGTCTGGGAACAAAGAACCCATTCATTCTTGTGTGGTTTGGAATATAAAGGTAAGGCTGTATGTTGCGTTGGATGCATTTCACCTGATATGCCGCGTACAGCAGCTCCGTCGCTGCGAGTTGAGCTTGCAGATAAGCAAGCTGGTTATCGCTTTGCTTTATGCAATCCAATATAGGTAAGCTTGACAATATCTGTGCAGAGTCAACAGGATCGCCAATGCGAGCTTTCTTGTTTGCACGGCCATCTTCAGGAAGTTGTAAAGATGCCATGAGGCTAAAGTGAGAAATCAAATTGAGAGTTTGAGGGAGAAATGCTGCTTACAGGCGGCTTACATCAAAGCGCTAGATTGAGACTGCCTTAGCTGCTCGCTGTATGTTTCCGTCATAAGCCTTACAATAGGACAACACGATACGTGCACGTCAGTTGACCCGGATGCTGACGACACGCGCTCGTATCCTTTACGTACGGAGCCTAACTTCCGTACGTTTCCCCTTGCACGGCCGCGCGGACAATCCTTCTTATAACTTACATTGGATCGAGCCGTGACGTGGTCCAGGCACTTCTCTGTCAGCACGTATTTGCCAATCCAACATCACAGGCAATATCTGTTACACAGACAACCGGTGAGCTGCTCCAAGCGATATGCGGTGCAATTCATTGGCGAGACCCTCTGTCTTTCTTTTCGATGGCATGTATATTTCACGGCGGTGAGTAATTACGCCCGGCAGAAGGTTTAGGTGCTTACGTCTGGCCCACATCCTGTTCCTGCGTCTACATTACGTAGCCACCGTTGATCTCTTTTCCCCTCGTTAAAGGTGCAGAAGAGACAGGTAAGGCGAAAGTCCGTACGCGATGCTGTGTGTATGGAATGCCAAAGCTAAACGAAATTAGGCTTGCAGTTGAGTTGAGGTCGCAGAGTAATGGATGGGGCTCCAAGATCATCCGCATCCTTGGGATCCTTGGGCACCTTTTGGGTTGGGGAGTCGGATGAGGGTGACCTTGACACTTAAAACACCAGGGTAAGAAGATACTCCACCTGTAAGCTGGATGTCGATACGCTTCTGGACTCGTTGCGAGGTAGGGCTTGATGATGGCTGGCGTAATAGCAGGTTCATCCGGACTTTTTTGTCACCGATAGAAGAATGCGATTTGTTACAGTGGACCCCGAGCTACAGTCGACCCGTTCGGGGTCGAGTGCAGCACCCCTAGGAACGCCTCCCGCACAACACTGTGGGCCCTATTCAAAAAGAACTCGGCCAGGCCGTACTAACTGGACACTGGACACAAGGCCTCAGTTAGTACGCTCATACAGAAACGGTGCTGCTCAACTCAGACGTGAGCCAGTCAGACCTCATCATTGCACATCGGTGAACGGCAAACGATCTTGTCTGCGTCGTTGACACATAAGAAGCTGTCTGGAGCCCGCTGTAACAACCACACACATGAGAAAGGGTGGTAGTGAGGCACGTGTTCCCAACGTTTTGGCAGGTTATCCCGTGCCGCAAAAGCAGTTAAACGGGCCCAAAGTCAGAGATAACATCGTAAGTAATGCGGTTAAGTGTTGACAAAGACGCGTCCATGTTGGCCTGAAGACCTTCCCTAAATAACAAACGGTGACCGAGATTTTGAGTGAACTGATGGCCGCGAGGCATGCAACCTCTCACACACACCCACAAACGGAGGCCGGTGGACTGCCCAACCACAAGTTAGCCCGGTTAAGAAGGTCTGGAAACTCTCTCGCTCGTTCCGCAGAGCCTCACGAAGAGACAAAGCTACAGTACAGTCCCAGAAATGATGCCGGCGATAGATGTGTCGGTACGGGCAATAGATGGGGCCTTCGGAACATACGGTTGGCTAATCCCGCCAACTCGACATGTAACTCTCATGCGGTTTAGGATGTGTGTTTCGGAGCTATCGGTTAACAGGCTGCATGAACGGGCTAGGGAGCACAGAGTGTACCACGTGCAACAACAACAGCACTGTGGAAGACGAGAAACAGGCTGACGCTAGGCAGGCCATTGGAGAGTTGGGGGTTCCACTGAGCACAAGCATGCTAAACACCATACAAGGGGAAGACCAGCGCAGATTAGGGAAAGCGAAAAAAGGCATGTTCTGCGCAAAACGCAGCTTACAGCACTAGCGCTTTCTTGCTTGTGGCGGACTGTTCGGCTAGAAACATATACTCAGTTCTGTATCAAACAAACTATCTGAGTCGGCTTTGGGTGACGTTTATGTTAGTGCTTTGTTTATGATTATTTGATGTGTTTTTTTTATTATGTTATGTTAATGTTTCGTTAGGTATTCGTCTTTGCCAGTCCAAGGCGGCCCGTGAGCCTCCGGGTTCGCTTGAACCGAAGCTTGTAAATCATCACCAACTCATCATCAAGTCAAAGGAGGATGCCGGATAAAATCTAAACTTACTTTTAATTTAAATTACTACTTACACATTTGACGTTGTCAATGCTACTGAGATTGCGCTGTCCAGTGCCTGCCATGCACCTGTGGAAGACCTTATAATTAGATCATGGCCAAGAGCTATTTCGGACATTCTGGTACTGAAATGTTTTAGAATGTCAACAACCCCATCATCGCCCGTCATCGCCCGTCATCGCCCATGTGCCCCAATGCGTTCAGCACGCTTCACGGAGCTTTCACGGCTACTTCACGGCTATCTACCCGTGAAAAATCCGTTTCCGTACCACAAATGCCTAAGTAAATAGTGTTTCCACACACATGTCGGCACAAACCTACTGCGTTCATAGCAAGGATAATCTCTTACTTCATTTCCAAAAAAATCAGGAGCCTTGATATACCTTCTTTGCTTTGAATTTACCAGCGATTACATCCCTGTTGGCAGCTCGTTTTAACATATCCCAACCGTATCGCACAACAAAAATTGTGTATATCCTGACGTGAATACATAACCATGCGATTTCTCTTCGTTGCAAAGATCGTCCTGTTCGCTGCTGTCCTTGCGGCAGTTACCGGCAGCGCCGCTGCAGGGCCCATAGCCTACGGTATCTGCCAGTCGGGATGCAATGCCATAGCCGTAGCGTGCTATGCATCGGCAGGGCTTACTTTTGGCGCCGTAACTGCGGGTAGGTGTGGTGGAGATGCGGAGCTGTGAAAATGAATGCATGGTGGAGGGAACTCGTAGTCATGAAATGCCTCCGGTCACTGCTACATGTTACACCCAGATGGACAATCTTTGGTTGCTGCTCCCAACTCCCGAACACCGTGTATTGCTCGCTGCGTGCTGCACTGAATGCTTATAGGCTTTGGCGCCCCGGCGGCAGCCGTTGCCTGTAACCTGGCACTGGGAAAGTGCATGGCGTGCTGTATCGCGGCTGGCTTTGCGCCCACTTTTTGAAGATGGTGCAAGACAAGGAGGACTGCGTGCTTATGGGGTGAGTGCTGCAAAGGACTGCATCAGGGAGCTGATGCCTTGAGTAGCAGGAGAAGATCGGTTAAGCAAGCACGTGTGCACCCGCATGTGTCGGTTTGCCCCCCCGCTGTGCCATTTTCCGCCTTCTGTGACTCATTTCCGCAGACCGCACATCTGTGGCCTCCCTGGTGTGTTGGCGCGAACTTCGTTCCATCTGCCTGCGCTGCTCCTAAACCCCGTAATGTCTATCGTTCCTAATCTGTTGCCCGTTCGTCACAGGGACCTGTCATGGCGCGCAAGCTGAACGAGTGCCTGGAGTGGCGGTCTTCAGCCCCCGGTGCCAAGCTAAGCCTGCCTGCCTAAGCCAGACCGTGCAACTGTGCGCGGAACATTGGAAAACAGGGACATATGTTGCAGGATCGCGCACGTCGCAGCTCTGTTGTTACCTATTGCTCATATTGGCGGCGTATTGCTGGCTCTTATTTTAGCATTTCCATTTATCCGTTACTGTACAATATGGAACAGGCAATCACGTGCTGTTGAACGGCAGAGAGCAGCCTTTTTGCGTGTTGCCATCGTTGTGCTTATCTAGACAGAATAAAGGTGTCGACATCGGTCACCCCTGGTGTCGCTTGTTTCTGTTGCCTGTTGTGCACTGGTAGTGGCGCCAATGCCAGGGGGCGGCCTTCCCCTGCTGGCGAGCGCAATTTCCTGTCGAGAAGAAAAGGGGTGCTTGGTTGCCCGTATAGTTAGTTGTTGGCGGCGTATGATGTCATTACATAGTTGCGCGGTGTCAAGAGCTGCTGGCGAGGAGCCGTGTCAAGGGTCCTTTGCATGGCAAATGGTAGCACCGACCTCGTTTGCGTATGCGTCTCGTTGGGGAGCCCCGTGAACGTACGTAGGTCGCACAACTGTAGGAATGAGTGTCTTTCATGAGGTTGTGCATTGCCTCCTGACACCCAGCTATCGCTCGGAAATCTGATATATGTACACGCGTCGTGCTATTTACGCATCCTGTGTAAAACTGTGCATTGAACGATGGAATGATTCATTCGGTGATCACCTCGCCGAGTTTTGACTCGCCAGAATAAGGTTGGGTTGGGTTCACACTTTACCTGTTTACCTTTACCCCGTTTGACCCACAAATCAGCAGAAAAAGGAGCAGCAGTCAAAAATGGTGTCATAATTGGCGTGATGCGGATGGGCTGGTCCCTCGGGGAACTTACGAATGCGCAGGAGGATGAGGATGAGGACGAATGGCCCAACATAGCACGTTCAAACGCAATGCCGGCTCAACTTGTTGCCGTTAGTTTACAAGTTCCGCCCGAGTGCGGGGGTGTCCGTCCGTGAAAGACCGGGGGCCATGGATTATGTATATTGATAGATAGTTCCTCGGTACAACCGATGGCGGTTTGGGTCTTTTTGCCACCGCAACCTCTCCTCATCCAGTCGCCCGACATCCGTAGAGACAGGCCAGCCATCAACACCATGCCACTCCAGCATGCGAAATTTGGTCCATCAACTAGACCTCATCTCCACACCTCAGTAGCAATCCGTAAACTTGTTACTCTCGAACAATGTCCGGGATCTACCCAGGAATCGAACCTAGTTATTGCGGCTATGAAGGGAGTTTTGAAGGGCTGCAGTGATGATCCGCAAGCAGTGCGGTGAAGGCGCAATGGAAAATTGAGGGGCGTCGAGGGAGACCCTCCCGGTTAGTTGGTGACGATACAAGCTGGTGCGAATGCATTTTGAGGCCCTTTACAACGTTGAGATCAATGCATTTAGTGATCCTAGCGTGAGCGCCATTTCCAATTTGATTAATGGGGTGGGAGGAGGTGAGAGTAGCGCCTTGAACACGCATATGTCACCAGCTAGCTGCCGTGAAGGCCTTTGAGATGCTGGAACACACTTTAGCATGTCTATCAGGGGTCGGCAAACGCCGCTGGTACAGCGGGTCCTTCCGTTGTACCCGTTGCAGAAATTCTTCATCGCTGGTACGGCAGCCGTACGGCAGGGTGCAGAAATTCACCCCAATAGGCAGGTTTGCGCAGTTTTGAAGCTATAAACTTCATCATTAGGTTACCAAACCTTCCATTTTGCAAGGAGGTAAACGCTAGCTTTGAGAGGTTCTCATAACGAACAGTCAATTGACGACCTTTCCTGGGCTTTTACCAAAAACATTTCCATACAGTTATTCGACCCTGGCACCAGTACCCGTGACAGTTATTCAGGGTTTGCCGACCTCTGATGTCTATATACTGATGATGATGATGATGTGCGCCGTACTGTACGACGGCTACGACAAACAGGGATACGGTCGCATTGAGGTTGCTTCGCATCAATAGGCCTGTAGGCTTTGATGGTTTGCCAGCCGAAGCGCTCTATTTCGCTCTATTTGGGGCAGGGGAAGGCAAAAGAAGAATGAGATTTGTACTTGTACCGTACCTTCATGAATTATGTCGTACGTAGTACAGGTGATTACGACGGTCAGTTTGAGGTCTCTCCCTGAATCAGTCCACAAGAAGGGCGACACGCGTGATATGGGTATCATACGAGGGGTTGCAGTTGGATGCGCTCTAGGTAAGGTCTATGCTTGCCTTCTAGAGCATCGGCTCTGGGCACATGGGCACATGAGATGGCAGGAATGAGATTCCCCTTCCAGGGTATTTTCCGGCGCAAGAGAGACACTTGCCATGATCTCCTTGCCGTGTATCACCTGTCCGGAAGATATGGACATGGGAACAGCAATCCACTTTTTGACGGCCAAATGGATTTCGAGGAGGTGTTTGATCTGTTTGGTGAAGCTCACATGCTGCTTGGGCTACGTCTAAGGGAGAGAGGAATTACGAGTGCGTGAGACATCCTAGCTGCAAACAAAGACACAAGAAGATGTAGATAGGGTAACGAGAAGATGGTCTCCGAATAGTAGTCGTCGCCTTTTCGCCCACCTGCCCCAGCCAGCTGGACTTCTGCAGCCTAACAATCAGGGTTGCGGTTCTCAAATGGCTTGACCTGTATGTCACTTCTCTTGGCCATGCCTTTATGGCTTCCGTTCTCCCTGACCGCCTAGTTTGTAGATTTTAACATCGGTTTTCACCTATCCTATCTGGCAGTATCTCTGGTTAGTGCTAGGCCCCTGGTGCCAGGCTCATCGTGGCGCGGTTGGGGACTAAGGCAACTTTGCGTCTGTGGGTTAGGGTGAACAGCCCGCTGTGCCTGTACGGCTAGTGACCGACTTGGTTGTTAGTTCCCCGGGTAACATCGCTTCCTAACAGTCCTAACCATTTCATCATCAAGCGCGAGGTCAAAATGGAAAGCTCTAGGTGCCTGGACACGCAGGTGCCCGATCTTTTGACTGCAATTGAATGAAAGGTTTAACGATCTTGTTAGAACAGCTTACGTATTGTACGGCACCATGGCCTGAAAACAATTGACTATAGATTGCGAGGGCGCTTTGTTATTTTTTAAAATAAATGAAGAGTAGCTGATAAGCTTTAAGTGCTCACTCGGCATCAGGTTGTGCTGTCTAGCCTTTGCGGACAAATGCTTACTCAATCCTGGTTTCGAAGCGAAACCGTACAGCTGATCGGTCGGCTAGAAGGTTGACGCGTGCCCTTGCTATGCGATGAAATGTATTATGGCTTGGAGATTGCTGTGTGATACAGGCTTATATTGATAGAGGGTGAACACTCCTTGGCACTGGGGTCAGGCGAAGCCTGGTCATCGCACAATCCCAGTTGCCGTAAGGAAACTTGTGCTTGTACTGCTAAACTTGCCATGTTGAGAGGCTTCAACTCAGGAACTGGATGCCGGGCACGTCCCCGAGCCGAGCTGCGTGTCTCTGCATTTAGCGGACCTTCGCCTTGCATCTTTAGGCACACGACATACTCGATAGGAACATGTGCGCCTGTGCGCAAGTCAAATGCAAAGCTAAATGTTATCCGGACGGACGCTGACGTCTGTTGCCGTTCCAGCGCTGGCACTGGAGCGAGCCTTCATCCTGATGCAGGCTCGAATAAGTGGGTTTGTTATCATCGGTAACGATATTTTAAGGTATCTCGGCGCCGTTATCGCTTCAACCGGGGTTTGGTTGGCGCGCAGGGGCGGCAGTCCCCTGCCATGGGTTGTCCTTGGCCTCGCCGGCTTGGCGCTAGGGGCGTATATTTTGTCGGAACCGGGTCAAGCGCTTAAGGTGGGTGACTGGGCCTTGCTTGGTATAATGAGCGAACAGTCTCGGCAGGGCAACGCGCGAACCCCACTTCGCCGCTGCAGGAGTTGGTGGCCAACGGTCCGCTGGGAAAGTCAGGTTTTTTAGCTGCATTTTCGTTGATCTTCTTGTCGGAGATTGGCGACAAGACTTTCTTCATCGCAGCGCTGCTTGCTATGAAAATTGGGAAATGGATGTCGTTCTTCGGGAGCGTCAGCGCGCTGGCGGTGATGACCGTCATCTCTGTCAGCATCGGCGCAATCTTTTCGCGCGTCCCTGATGCACTCAAAAGCTCCATCCCGGTGGGGGAGCTGGCTGGCATCGCGCTGCTTGTCTTCTTCGGCGTGAAGACGCTGAGGGTACGGCAAAGGCTCCTTTCCCTCGTAACCCGCACCCTGACCCCCAATACACTTGTCCCCACGTTATGTGAACGATACGAGCTTGAGCATCTTGATGTTGGCGCCCTCCCGGGGCCTCCTGGGCACTGGAACTGTTACGTAGCAAAGGATTTGTAACCCAAATCGTCTCTCTCTTGGCATTGTGTTCTGGGCCATTATCTACAGCGGTCTAGGACGCTGTCGGATTACGTTAGGTTACCTGCCTGCCTAGCTGTAAGTAGCAAAATGCAAATAGCAAGCAGCGCCAGCGCCAGCGACGCGTAAAAATGTGGCTAGCGGCAATCCTGTCTGGATTTGGACGAGCGCGTATTTCAGGGACATGTGTTTGCCAGCCCGCATTACATAGGACGCCATCTTCAAGCGCCTTGTTTACGCCGCACAGGATGGCCTGTCTCAGCCCGCGGACGGAGCCTCCGCGTCGGACGAGGAGCTAGCGGACGCAGAGACTGCCGTTCAGCAGGTGGAAGGTGGCAAGGCGCAGCGGAGATCAGCACTGGCCGTGTTCATTGAGGTGGCCACGCTTATCTTCCTGGCGGAGTGGGGGGACAGGTGCGCGGGTGGGGGTGGGGTCGAGTTATGTGTAAGAAAATGTGGAAGGGGAGCGGTGCTCTGGTGCGTGGTAGTTGCAGGATTTTCCTCTCGGGCCGTTTTACTGTCGCTAACAGGGTGGCGGCATTGGTGTGGTTCGTCGCAATACTGCGAGTGAGGGGGTTTTGTTAGGCACGGGTGGGACGGGATTGCGGAATGGGTGTGCGACGCCGCGTGACACGCAACGACGACGCAGATAACCATTTTGGGGCTGGCAGCCATCTTGGCCTACTCCTTGCAGTTCGGAAAGCAATACGTTCATGGGGCACTACTTGGGCATTCGGGTTCTCCACGCCTTACGGTCACCTTGCCGCAGCTTCTTACTTGGTTTTGGGCTAGCTGCCGTTCCCAACGTTCCTCTGCCCTGTCTGCATTACGTACGCGTCTCGCTTTGCACCGCCGCCCCGAGCTGCGCACCCTTCCGGCGCACATGGGTTTCTAGCTCCACTCACGGTGTTGGCCGACCTTTCTGCCCGGCTGGCAATTTCCCCTGCCGACCCGTGGGACGTCCAGGTCTATGCTGGCGACCATAGCACTGGGTGCAGCGCAGAACCCCGTGGGCGTGGCGATTGGCGCCATTGGCGGTCATGCGGCTGCCACAGGCATTGCAGTGCTGGGTGGTGGGATTGCCTCCAAGTACGTCAGCGAGCGCACCGTGAACATTGTCAGCGGCGTGCTTTTCTTGCTTTTCGCGGCCGCAACGGCGTTCAGCATGTTCTGAGCTGAGGCAGCAGTGAGAGCAGCAATAAGAGTGACGGAAGTATGGTTAGCGGCTGCAGCGACATCAGCGATAGCACGCCGCCTGAGCGTGGGAGACTGGGGGAATTGATGACGGGGTCTGAGCATTGGGGGAGGTGGCATCGGCGAGGCCAGGAAGCGGGCAGGAGGACTGGTAAGGGATAAATGGCGGGGCATCCTACCGTAAGCGGCATTAGGTTACCCCCATACCCGTGTCAGCTAGCGGTAGGCAAGCCAGTTGCGCGTTCGACTTGTCAGTTTCGTGTCCATACCGCCTGTTTTGAAAAGTCGCGCTGTCAGGCGCTTAACGGACCGCACTAAGCAATATCCCATTGGCAAACGTTGGACGGCAGCGATGTGGCAGCCAGGGTGCCTTGAGGATTTCTGTTGGAGCCGGGGGCAGCTGTGGTTTTGCATTGGGGAGCCAGCATGGCGGGCACTGAGCGATAGAAGCGAAGGCTTGTAGTTCTGTTCCCTTCCTTTCAAGTGCCAGGTTTTCCAAGGCGCCGCCGTGTTGAACCACCGCCGGTAGGACGCAATAGTGCAGTCTCTGAAGATCCAAGAGGAAAGTGAAGATATGCCGAGGCGTTGAAATGGCGGTTTTCTTGTCCTTCTGCCGACTCGTTTGGAGAGTTTCCAGAGCAGGACGGAGGCTGCTCGTATGGCTATAGGTCTCTGACAAAGCCCCTTTGGACGACGTGCAAGTGACTAGTCAGCGCAGGCGGCTGATGCCATTTGCACGTCTTCTTGCCTTGTGGATTATATCTACACAGTCGTTGAGTGATGGGTTCGGTGATAAAGCAGCGTGCGTGACGCTTGGCTCTTCGACACGACCATCGACAAAGATACGCAGCTTGGGAGGGTGGGTAGTGGAGGGTATGCAACTCAAGTGTGAAGTGTGGTGCTGGGGACGGAGTGAAAACTGGAGACTATGCTGTTGCCAGTGAAGCAGTAACGCACTTGAACGGCTATGATTGTAAAGTGCATTCTAGCCGAACTAGGTATGCTTTTAAATACGTAAAGAACGTTTTGGATGACATTGTGTTCCCATGGTTTGGTCGTATCATACATAAAATGTGGTTTCTCGGGACAGCTAGGAATATGTAGGAATATGTTTTGAAGACTTTACATACTGAGGAAAGTCGTTCTCATCGCCAGGTGACAACTTGACTACCATTCCTTAAGGAATGGTAGTCGGAAGCTTCCGAATGCATGCCATCCTTAAAAGCACCTGGTCCTTCCCACGAATCTGCACCATTATGCTTAAATTTTTGTGACAGCCCGAACATAAGTCTCGTTTTCATATCTACTGAAATCTGTCAGGCTTCTGCCTCACACAGCGCGTAGCCATCACGCAAATAGACGCCACGTCACGTCCATACGCCATGAGCAAAAACGCGATGGACCGAATGTTACACCCTACTCGTGCGCGGGTTTGATTAGCTGATTCTCATAGCAACGGTACATTGGACGATTACCGAGGCAGTCGCAGCAACCTGCTGGAATAGGCCAGGCCCTGGCAGGCACCGAAAAGCTAAACAACCACGATTTCTAATGCACGTTCCAAGACGCACACCCACATCCACCGTGCAGAGCGCTGTTCCGTCGCCGCTTCCATAACATACCGTCCACCATAGCAACATGGCACGTCCCCTGCCCACGCCTTCCTCGACCACTGAACCAAGCAAATCAAACGTGGCCACCTGACCGCTGAAAGCAACTTCTGCTAACAGCGTGCTGCACTGCCGTTCCTGCCACACCGACGGTGTTTCTTGTGCTTGAAAGTCAGCTCATCCCTTTTCCTGTGCGACTCCCCTCAGCGACTCCGCCTCCAGCCGCACGCAACAATTCCCGCCGCAATACCATGGAACGTGGAGGACACGCCTCCGTCACAGCCAAAAAGCCGCTTTAACCCTCTACTTGCGCCGCGACGGCACCAGCAGGCGGTCCATAGGAACGCCGCGCGCCTTGCTGACCTCTTGGAGCGTGCGCAGTTGCTCAAGCGCAGCCACAGCGCAGCGAGCGTTGTTGAGGAGGCTGCGGCAGCCCAGGCGCTTGGCCAGCACGTTCTGCACACCTGACAACTCGAGTACAGAGCGAATCGAGCTGCCCGCCAGCACACCAGTACCATCAGCGGCCGGCAAGATGACGCAACGCGCCGCGTTGAACTTAGCCTCCACGCGGTGTGGAACGGTACCAGCGCCAACAAGCGGAACCTGCAGCGCGGGAACCAACGAGAATGGTAAACCACTGCCTTTCACTAAGACCGGTAACGAAGTTGATCAGATGCACCCAAACTCAAGGGTCGAGTACCTATCACACCTCATTGTCGTTTCTCCCGAAGCCAATATAGCATTCGGCGCCGTGCACCTTTTGACTAGCCGTTCCGCATTGGTGTCACCGTAACTCATGAGCCGTAACAGCGCATGACGCCTTAACCATTGAGTACATCCCCGGCAAATACAGTGCCCGTCCAATGCCCGCCGCGAAACCTAAAAACCCAAGTTGCATCCTAGAGACCCACCCGCACAACAGACTTCTTGGCGTCCACCAAGGCCCTCTTGACAGCGGTCGCCACCTCGCGGCCCGACTGGCAGCCAACACCCACAAGGCCGTTGCCGTTGCCCACCACCGCTGTGCAGCGGAAGCCCATCAGCTTGCCACCCTTGACGACCTGTTGGCGGGAAAGAAGGGCGACCAGTTAGCATATCGCCGGTGCAGCAGTGACAAAACTTGGCATGGGAAAGCCAGCCAAGTATTCAACCGCAGCATGGGCCCATCTTCTTGTCCTGTAACCATAAAACTCTTGCCATACCTTCTACCTCCCCTCGTTACCGATTGGCCAATCTCCGTCACTATCTCCAAAAAGGTTAACGCCCAGTAACGCCTTACAAGATGTTTAACAAGCCGCCTGACGCCATTCCCAGTCACCTGGCACCTTGGGGCCCTTGCATCGATATGCACCTTCACTGCCGACACCTACAAGTGTCGCCCGTCCCGCGCAGCATCCCCCCATCCAACCCAGAACACATAGTTTTGTAACGGGCCCCGCTCTCCAGCCTTCCAACCCAAGCCACACTCTTGCCTTTGTCACGCGGCTCAGCTCCAGGATACGCTCCTGCCAGTTCTCATCGTCGTCAAACTCATCCTCCTCCTCCAGGTCGTCCATGTCGTCAGGCATCAGCAGCTCAGTCTCCACATCCACAAACTCATCATCTTCGTTGTCCAGCACGTCCGGCGGCAGCTCGCCCTTGATGACCTGCTCAGCAAGCTGCGCCTTACGCGCCTCCTCCGCGTCAAGGAACTGCTCCGACGCGGCCACGTACTCGTCCAACATCTCGATCTCCTCCCGGGAAGGGATCTCCACAAAAGACTCCGGCATAGCGCGCAGGGCTAGCAGCTCGGCGCGGAACGTGTCCACCTCGTCAACCTCCTCCAGTTTGTTCTGCAGTGCAGAGGCAGTAACCAGGACGAAGTTGGGATGCAGTGAATGAGCCAAGCGGTGAAAGGGTGAAGATCTGTTCCCTAAAACTGCTGTAAATACATCCCTACTCGCATGCATACGTATATCGGTCCCCAGCCGCAGCGCGCAGATGTCCGCGGGCAGTGGCACACCGTAGCTGCCACAGGGATAAATGGAATAGGACCTTAAGACGCGAACGGTGCAGCTATGCCCTTAGGCACCTCTAGACATAACAACACCTAATCTCTGCATAGAGAACATTAATACCGCACAAACATCGCCCATTGTAAGTCCCCTGCATTTAGGATGATACTGCAAGATGCGCAAAGCCACAAGCCTAGTGCAGATGATACCCCAGCAAACTTATGTGATATGATTGCACACTGGAAAACATTTGGCTCGGCACACTTTCCCCAAAGCCGGGCCCAAATCTCTTCCTACTCCTTTCCTCGGCTATACCTGAGGTAGGCCTACACTAACTGATTCTGGCCCCACACAGCTTCCATTGCATGCTTTCCAGGTAAAGCAACGCCACTGCCGGCCATGAACCTCAACAGGGTAACAAATCGCTGCGGTAGCCCGCGCAGCTGCAGCAGGTCTGAGCGATCATCCCACCTCTCCAAACCACCCACACTCACTTCAATGGACTCAAAGACAAGCTCGCTCTCCGCCAGGGGCTCCACGGTCGGCTCATTAAGGTCTACATCGTCGAGGGAAACCGACGCCTCAGCCTCCAGGTCAACCTTCTGCACCGGCTCGTCGCCGAACAGCTCCTTGATCTATTGTGAAGAGAAATGAAGGGAGGAATAAGTCCGCAGTCTTGGGCTTTGGACACCAAGCGCAAGGTACTGCCATCTACGGGCACACTGGATGTGCAGGAGTACAACATCATACTCTGTTGCTCGCGGCCGAACGCGCCGATGTTCATTGTTTGGCAGCAACCGTGGCCACTGCTACGAATCCTCCCGGCCCGTAGGCACCCCCCGCCGGGCCTAACCCAACGACCAGTGAAGAAGGGAAGCGATAAGTTGAGGCCTCCTTGCCATGAATCTACCCTCTCCGGCCGTTTTGACTAGTAACGACGCACCTGGTCATCAGACATCTCCACCGCCTGCGCGCCCTTCAGGCTCGCGACGTACTTCTCCACAGCGTCGTCCGACATCTCCAGACCATCGTCCACAATCTCAGGCACATTCTCCAAGCCCTCGACGTCATCCTCCAGCAGGGACAAGTCCTCGCCGAGCAGGGCATCGATACGCTGCAGATCGCTGTCCCCAAATTGGGTAAATTCAGGCACTGCGAAGACCTCTTCAATGTTATCTGGGATAACCTTGACCTCATTTTCAATATCGAAGTCGTCCAGTAGGAACTCGATAGTGTCGCGCGTCTCAAGGTCCAGGTCCTGGAGACTTGCACTGCGCAGGTCCGAGAAGACTTGCTCGTCGGAAGGCAAAGCCGCCATAACATTGGCAGCAATCGTCTTGCTGCTGCCAGCAACAGCGCTGACCTCCTCGTCATCGTCCTCGATCTCGATATCAGTCATCCAATCCCAAACGGCTGGGCCCAAGGGCTTGTTAGCACTCTCCTCAACCTCCTCATCCAGGCCAGTCTCCTGGAGCTCAGCCTCCAGAACCATCTGCTCCTCAATCTCCCTGAGGCGGTCGGCCTGCTTGGCAGCGGCAATCTCGTCGCTGTCACCTGCATCCCCCTCCTCCTCGCCGCCACGCTGGCGGCCCTGCCGCTGCTTTGGAGCGGCCTCAGGGATACCAGCAGCAATGAATTCATCATCATAGGCCTCATTGTTGTCCATGTCATCGAAGAAGGAGGCGTCTTCGATGCCGAACAAATTCTCCACAAACTCGCTGTTCACGTCGCCAGGCGCAACGCTTTCTCCCTCGTAAAAGCGAAGAGCAGCCTCTACATCGCTGGCAGCGTACTCATTGCCTTTCTTTGCATCCGAGAAGCTAAAGCTGAACTCCTCCACCTCCGGCTCTGCTGCGCGAACCAACACCTGCTGCCTAGGAGCACCCGCAACGCTGCGGATAGCGCGGGTAAAAGGGCGTACACGCCGGCTGGAAATGCTGCCCGCCGAGACCTTGGCTTGCGACCGAGCAGCGCGCGTTGTGGCGCCGCTGGGCGCTGTAAGCGTGGCCATGACTGGTTGTGGCGGCCTGAGTTAGAGATATATGGGCCGCAACTACCCTGCCAAATACCCTTCTAATCGCAGGGGCGTGCTAAAGAGAACCATTCAAGCTCTGGCAAGGGGTGTTTTTTGTGGCTGTGGGCACATAGGGCCTTATGCGATTGGACTGTTAATTCATCAACTAACATTTGCAGCAATTAAGCAAACATTATTGTGCCAACCTATTAACGTATATCCATATGAACTTGATATAGAGCCGAATTCGACAACATGTTGTTGTCAACATCCCCAGCCTCGTCTTTCGCGTCCCGGGGCCCCCGATCAATAGTATGTCGCAACGTAGTGCTCTTCAACTGCGCTATGGCAAGAGCAAGGATACCGAGGACGGCCATTGGCAGTGGTGCCCTGGTGCGTGTTGCACCCTAAAGCAAAGGATCGGCCAGCCTAGGCTGCATAATTTTATGGTATCTTTAAGTCCTGTAGCGAGCGTTAGCGGTGAAAGAGCCTCTATGGCCTCGTGAGCGTCATTAGATGTTGCTACTGCCATGCCAGGACCCGTCGGTCGCTATACTCTTGCGACGTGCGTAGCGGAATCTGGGCTCCTGGTGCAGCGTGTCTAAACGTTGTGGCAACGAAGGCGTGTGTGGATCATAACTCTTGGCGTGGGGTCGACGAATCCTTGGGCCCTCTACGATAACTGCATAGGCGCGATGCACCCCCGTCTATTAATCTAAACCTTCCAAAGTGCAGGTATCACTTCCGCCCACGGGAACTAACGCCAAAGCTCAATTCCACACCAGCCGGCACAAGGGGAGCGCCATGTGTAACGTAACACTCCCCCTCACGCCAGATTAGTCGCGCATGCGCGCGCACAAGCAGCCTCAGTCCCCTCCCCCACAACGCAGACGCCTGCTATCCCACCCCACAAACTTGCGACTGTATATGCCAGCAAGCAACACGGAGGTTTTAAACTTCCTCTCGGATGAATGAATGGATCCAATAGAGCGAACCGTACAAAAACAGACGGCGAAGTCCGCGCACCAGGCAGCCACACACGCATTTTCTCACCCCCCCTCTGCGCCCAGCCTTATGGGCTCACCTTTCCTCAGCCGTCAGCCTCACCTGTCCCTCGATTCCGTCCCTCGCAGCCCCGGCGGGGTACCCCCCCCCCGCAGGCCGCCGCCTCGTCCCCTCCCCCTCCCCAGCCCTCCTCAAAGCCAGCCAAGGACCCCGCGGAGGTCAGGACTGACCTAATCAAGGGATGCAGGACCATCCTGATGGAGCTCCAGGGTGGGTTACGGAAGAGGCCAGGGTGACGTACGTCCACCAGGTTCGGGTGAGGGGGAAATGGGTTGCCGGTGCGCTTTCGGGGGCTGCTGCCGGGGTACCCAGGAGCTTCATTGGGGCCCAGAAAGCGGAAGGGCGCGGGCAGGAGGCACGGGACCTGCCGTGGATGAGCGTTGAGGCGTCTGCGGAATAGTGTTTTGTGTCTCGTGATGTGGGTCATCGGTGTAGGCTGGGATTTGTCGCTAAGTCGCTGGATGAGGTCAAGGTGGGGTCCAGGTGTTGTACTGCACCGCAGTTTGCATAGCTCTATGGGGTAGGCCTACCCCCGGGTAGGCCGCGATCTTGTGCCGCCAGCGGCAGACCGTGGCCCGGGAATATGTTAAGAGGTGGCGGCGATGTTAGCTTGATGGAGATATGTTAAGTATGTTGAGGGAGGTGTGCAGGGAGGCGAAGTCAGGGGATATGGTACGAGGAGATCGGCATATTTTCATCTGTTGCACCATCATGCCGAACCTTATGGCATCCCTCTCCTCCTCGCGGGCTCTGCCTCCACCTTCTACCCCTCGCACACCGGGGTTCTACGCGGCATGTGATGTAAAGCTCGGAACCCGCCGCGATGAGACCCTGCCCCCTTCCCTAACCCGCTTCCTCCTCACCCAGGCCTTGACTTCCCCCGGTCTGACGTGAGAGGTTACTTCCAGTTTGTGGTGAAGCCGCCTGCGGGCGTAGCCAAGACCTTCGACTTGACACGAGCGCGGGTGCGTGGGCGCGGGCGTTACAGTCAGCGGAGCGGAGCCTCGAAGTGGGGTGGGTTGTGATTTCCGATGCAAAGGGCTATGCGCCCCGCCTAATAGCCGAATGGGACCACTGGGTCGCCGTGCTTGAACCCAACCCCGAATCTCTACTTTTCTATAACGGCCCTCCTAACCTTGTTGTATGCTGCATGGGGTCTTTCACACGGGACAGAGCACGTTCCGTGGCCAGTGCATGCCGGCGGCAAAGGCCGAGCGTCGGCACCGTGACGTGAGCCGCCGGCATATTCCCGCCTCCGCATGCATATGCATACGTTGTAACATTGCGGGAACTTGACGCCGCTGGGTCCTGCCCTGAGTCACTGCCCGCACCGCATATCTGAGTCGGTGTTTGCGCTTTCCTTAACTTTCTGCTTTTAAATCCTAGTTGTTTCTTTGGCTTTCACACTTGATCCGCCTCTCCCACTTGAAGTCCTCATTCCCATGTTGCATCGTCATTTCGGACACCCGCAGACGGTTGTGGAGCAGCTGGTTTCGGGGCAAGAGGAGGCAGTGTCGGACCTGGAAGCGCTCAAGGTGAGCAAGAACCCCGCCTTTCCCGTGCTTGCTCATGCTTGCCGCTTTGTGCGGTTTTCAGGAGGAGGAGGAGGAGGAGGAGGAGAGGCGCCCAGCAGGTGGTGCTCACACAGGGGTTTCGGAAGGGGCCGAAAGCGTTGCGTTAGCGGGCGCGGCTAAATAGCTCACGCGCGGTAGGGACAGCCTATGATGCGGATACCCGACTCGTAGGTACCCCCTACCTGAGAATTCCACGAGGGAAATCTCCGGTTGCCTCAGGCTGCCGCCTTCCCTTTGGGGTTCGCCGCCCTTGCCAGGCTGCCCAATTAATGCTGAGTGAGATCTGGCGCTGGCGACGGCGCGGCGGCGGCATGGATGACGAGACTGACCGACCTAACTACCTCATCGCGCTCGAGAGCCTGCAGAAGATCGAGCCTGAGCAGATCGACCGCATCACGTCCTCTCTGGTGCGTGCGAGCTCCACACACCCGTAGCAAATACTTGCTTTAGCTTTTTCCTAGCTAGTTATACCATGTGCAAGAGGCGTTGGGTGGGCTTGGCCTTTGTGGGGTGGTGTGCAGTGTGCCGTGTGGGTTGCCTTGGCACACATAGTAGTGTATGTGAGCCCGGGGTGTTGGTGTGTGTACGTGTATTAATTTTTAAGATATCGTGGGTTGCCGCGCTGAGGCGAAGAGCCGCTGGTGGCAGCTCCAGGCGGGGATCTGCTTGGGTTGCTGTTGGGCTGTTGGCGCTGGTGTGGTGCCCTGCGCGGCCCCTTGGCTGCATCAACAATCTGCCGGCTGTGTGGCCGTAGCAGTAGCACGTATGCATGGGACAGCGCTCTCTGGTTGGGAAGTTCGTGACTCCTGGGCCTGCATGACTTCTTCACACCCATCGCCATGAAGCCGCGACGTTGACACCGAGGGTGCTCCGGGCCGAGCACATCCCCTTTTTCCTTTATGCTCGGGTTCGCGTCCGGGCTCGCGTGCCTCTTCCTCATTACTCGCCACAAAACACAGTCCTTGTTGCCGCCGGCGCCCATGGACACGACGTTGACTTGCGCATCAATAACTGCTATGCAACTAACGGTCGGGACCGTAATGGTTGCAACCAAACCGCCGTCTTGCCAACAGCTTGACAACCTGCCCATCACCGAGGCGGAGAAGCGCGAGATGAGCAGCTCGGTGCAGCAGTGAGTGGGGCCCTAGAGTTATCTGTGACCCGTGGGTCAGTTCGGGGAAGCTGGGGACTGGTCAGCTCTGTTGGACCGTTGTTGGAATACAGCCAGAAAAGAGGGGCGGGAAGGAAGGGTTAGTATTTAAAAAGTCCTTATGGCAGCTGGGTCACAGGTTTATCTGCTTAGGTGCACGAACCTACGGCTAAAGCATTGTGGGCGAGACGGCAGAAACTTGGGGGGTTTACTGTTTTATGCCCCAACATATGGCCCGGCAACGGAAGCACATTGCAAGAGCTTCCTATGAAGGTGGTGAGGGCAGCAGGGCTGAGGCGCGGTAGGATATTCGGCCGCGGAACACCTTCGATTCTGCGGCTCCTCCGCCCTGGCTGGGTGCCACGATTTCCTCTTTTCCGACCTGCGCCTTCACTCGTCTTGCCCAACACCCTAGGCTGGCCCCCGAAATCCCATGTCACTCAGGGCCGCCATCGCTGGCATTAACGGCGCCGTGTGGGGGAGCTTGGCGGCATCATTACTCTTTCTGCTGGTCTTCAACTTCGTTCGTAGCTCCTGAGCTAAGCCACCTGCCGCCGCTGCTTGGTGTAGCTGACTTATAAGGGTTATCCTGCCTTAGAAGGGAATGTCGTGAGCATGTAACATACAGGGTTATAGGTGACTCCGTCGCGTCTCTCCTTGAAAGTTATATAGATAAGCAACTTGCAAGCCATACTGGAGAGGCGAGGAGCTGTGGAGAGGCGAGGCCGCGCTGTCCACCATGCAGCCATGTCTGCGGGAAATTCCATTTTGTCTTGTTGTGTGCGATGTGGACGGAGAGGGTGCTAATGGATACAGTTGGGATTCCAGCTTGGTGAGGTTACAGGCCCGGAAGTGCACGAACCATAGCAGCTGTGGCGTGCACATGCGAGCTGCCCTACCCTACGGAAGGATTTTTTCTTAGAACACTACAGGAGAGTGTCCTCGAATGAAAGCACCGATATGCTACTGGTATCGCCTTGCGGTGGCGCCACCAAGTATGGTCTGGCACGAGTATACGCTGAATGCCGTGACCTGCGCTGGGATCGCAGAGCGTGCAGAGAGAACGATGTATTTTGATAGTGTGGAGTGGCTCTCGAGTTTTGGGCAGGCTGGGGCTCGTGGTGGGGAACTGGAGGTGGCAGGTGCGTGGCTTGGTGCGGAGTGATTCGGACTTAGGTAAAGCAGCGGCAAAGGAGGCGAGGTTATAGTTCCTTCAGGATCTAGGCACCTATGTTAGATACACTTCTCGGTTGAGTGGCTTGTGGTGAGGGACTGCGTTATCAGAGGTTGAGGTGCGGACCGTGCGGGGTGCAACTGTGTACCGGGGACGCGCACATGCGTGTTTAACCCCCGCGAACGCCAGAGCCTTGGCGAGCAGATGGTCGCGGCGTGGTGTCGGCTTGTCTGGACCTGAAACGCGCGCTGGAGGGGGTGCTTCAAAGCTCTCCTCCGGATGCTCGTGGTGCGCCCCGTGCAAGTGGAGATAAGGGAGGATGTAGGTTTGCGGATTGGCCAAAGATTGACAATGCTGACGGAATAGAGGCATTTGGTTTGAACCTCCGAAACTGTGCGAGGGAAAGCCATGCAAACACACGATTGGTCCTCCGAAATCCAAGAAGGCGCATTATAAACATGACTGCTAAACATAACTGTTTCCAAAGTTTGCTCATCCCCTTCGTTATCACAACCCTAAAGGTTACAAGCTACATGTAACCTTGTCGCTGAAAGGAATCCTCTGCGCAACTGTACATACAGCGCCCGCGTGCAGCTTACAACGCCCTCTCTGTCGTCAGCCGTTTCTTCGGTATTTCGGCAAGCCCGTCAGGTCACCACCATCTTAAAGCCGCGTCTGACAAAGCGAAAGGATTCAAAGATAAATGAACGATGCGGCACAGCCGGCAAAGGCCATGGCCATTTTCGAGCGCGCAGCCCATACCTTCCCAGCTTCCAACATACATACCACTGATGCAATCTCACTAATATCCATGCCCTCCACGCCTCGCCTGCGATACACCCCCCCCCGCCAGGGCAATCGAAAAATCACGAGCGCGAATGGCCATGGGGGGCACCCACGTGAAAAAATGCAGGGATACAAAAGTGACTAGCCCAGCACACCAACCTGTGGTTCTGGGCCAATGATCCAGTATTCGTGTCTGGAACTGCAGATCAATGCATCTTATATTTTCTTCAGCACCCCTTCCTCCCCTTCCCCGCGCCACCCGCGGTGAGGTGCCCAGCTGTCTTTATCTGGACTTGGCCCAGTTCAGGAGTCCCTCTTACGCCGTTGCTGCGGCCTCCGGTGCAGCTGCCACCGCTACAGCCCCTTCCTCCCTTGCCGTCACATTCATAGCATCATCAGCTGGGGCCTCCTCCTCGAATCCCAACAGCGGCTTCCGATCCGCTGCAAGGCCCTGCACCACGGGGCTCCACTGGGGGGGCTGTAGCTCCGGCCAGTCGCCTCGGCAGCCCAGTTCCACATACTGCCGCTTCCGGTCCGCCAGCTCCGGAAACTCCTACAGCAGAAAGGGTTGCGAAGAGGAGACCGAAACTGACCGATTAGGCTCAGATCCCGGGCTCGGCGCTGTTTCCACCGTTTCGGCCTGTCCACACCACACACCCAAAAGCCCGAGTTACGGTTTTTGTCTTGTCCGTTGCGGCCAAATAGAACAGGTCCAATAACCCACCAGAAGGACCTGTTGTGACTGGGTTCGAGGCTTCCTGCGACCTCCTCTTGTAGCCGCAGAACACACTCGCTCTATATCACCAGTCCTCCTCGCCATTCAGAAACGCCGCCGCTTCACTCTACATCCATATCGCATCCCCCTCGGGACCCTTCCTCCCTCCCAACCCAACTGCACGCAGCCAACTAAACAGCCAACACAAACCGAACTCTTTGCCCGTGCTATACGTGAGCGCCGCTGCACAACAGCAAAGCCGTGAACCACCTGGCCCACCCGGCCACGCGCCCTCGTGCTGTCTCCCTGTCTGTGTGTCGGCAATTCCTTCTCATTTCCTTCCGAATGCCGCCCGCCCTTGCCATGTGGACCCTCACCGCTAAGTGGTCGCTCAGGCGAGGTAGGAGCAGCTCTGCCACAGCCTTGGCTCGGTTGTCCAGACTGTTGCCGCCCTTGACCGCAAAACCCTTCTGGACCTGCAAAATGAACAGGAGTCGGTGTTGGAGGACAGCTATGGAAAGACAAGTATGGGCGCCTTGCAAGGGGTACACCAGGGTATAGGCTGCGAGGTATGGCGATAGGCCCCGAGGTCCACGGCGGCCGAACGTACGGAGACAGACATCCTCCGCAGCTAAGATTCGTTAACACCGGACATTACATTACACGCCACATCGTCCAACGTAAGTCAGCGTCCGTGTAAAATCGTCCCTCTTAGCACCCATGACCTTCTGGTTGCCTACACCGCCCAAACCCCACCCCAAGACTCCTCCATGCAGCAACCCCCCTAGCAACACACCGAACCCCAATGGATTGGGCGATCACCGAATGACGAACACAATAAACGGCCAAGCCAGCGGGCCGCCAGTCCGTAATACCGAGCGGGTCATTCGGTAATTTTGTGCAAAGGCCCAACGAGCACACGGAGCTTGCTGTTAATTCAACCCCCGTCGCCCCACCTTGGCCCGAACAACCACCTCTGCCTTGTCCTCGTACAGCACCCTCTCCGCAGTACGCGGCTTGGGCCTTAGCTTATCCTCCTCGTCTGCATCGCAGGATGGCAATGCACGACACGGCCTATGCACGACACCCCGAACAACACCCAACTACGAATATGGGAGAGGAATGGGCAAATAAGGAACGTAGGGGACAAGGATAATCGCAAGGCGTATGGCAGAGTGGAATTTCAGCGCAGGTTGACCTCCTTGTTGCGCCCTCTACTCCCCGCACGATCCTCCCCGTTAACTCACCAATCCACACAATCACGCTGCCCCACAGATCTTGCCACGCTGCCTCGCGGGCGATGGCACCTCCAGGGAGGGGTGTTGCGATGACTCGGAATTGAGTCCGAAGCCCCCGTAGCACCTCCATCTCGGAGGCAGCTACGGAGGGGGGGGGGCAGGACAGGCGTGGGGAAGAATGCAAGGTGGAAGTGAGGCCCCCTTGGTTTGCGATTTCCAGAAAAGAAGCCTAACTGCATTCGATGTCCAGCGCGCAGGTGGGTGAGCTGCGGCGAGGCTGTGTGCAATGCAGGTCACAAGTCGCCCTTCACACCAACCAACGTGGGGCCCCGTCCCCGATGAACCCCTGACATTTACGTGTGCCGTGTCATGGCATCTGGAAGGCACGGTGGAGCAACTTTATGCTTTCATCCACCTCACATGCCTTACTGAAGGCACCTGGTGATGCCGACTCCGTCCGCATGGCATGGAGATTTAGCGTCCCATCCATCACTGTTATCAACACTACTAAGACGGCGATTTTACTCTATCGTACGGTTCGGTACGGCAACAACTAACCTCGCTCCTCCACACTCAGCTGATCCAGGGATGTTACTTTCCGCATGCCGCAAATAATTTTGGGGATGTCGACCGCAAACCACCCTAGACGCGAGCCCACTATTTTGGCGACCGCAAAGTTGAGGGCATGGTCATCCCCCAGGAACGTCAGCGAGATGCGCTTCAGTGAGTCTACCACCAGACGAGTAGCTCCGACCTGCGCAGTTGCGCATCGAGGGTAAACATAATTGCAATGTGCGAATGCCGTGCAAGGTGGGTTTGACCCGAAACGCCCACCTTGCGCGTGCTTGCTGCGAAGCGGTGCATTCCTTCCCGGGCTTTCTCCGCGACTAGTTCTTTGTCGATGTCAGCGACGCAAGATGTTGACGTGGCTGGCTCAGAAGGCGCATCGCTTACGGCACACCTCAAGGGCCGCCGAGCTGAAGCCGGCCCCGGCCGCGCTGCAACGCTCGAATGGAACGGCGTAACCAAATAAGCTGGTACTGGACGTAAAAGCGGACTTCGCAATTGGAGCCGCCCGGCTGGTGTCTCCCATGTAACGCTGTGCATTCTGCCTTCAACCGACTCAGTAGAAGCTAAACTAAAGAGTAAAAAATTAGTTGAGACGATAAACCTTTCCTTGAAGGTAGGCAACCAAGTAATGCAATATTCCGGCCACCAGCTAACATAGATAAAAGAAGTCGTGACAAATTGTAATGTGCTCACGTCACTGGAATATGCATCCAAATGTTTTGCAATTTTCAATCCACTTCGTTAGCCGCACATGTATGTATGCTTTCCCTGCAAGATTGGGCTCTGGTCTCAGAGCCCAATCTTCGCTGAAGGGACTAAGCTAATATCAAACCTACCCTTCTGCAGCTTGCAAACCTAACGAACAACAAAGCTTCGACAGCAATGGTTCTTTGATTGAATCGTTGAGCAAGGCCAGGCTCTCCACTCATGTCGTACATACACCAGCGGATTCCCGGGGCAAGCACCAGTCTTGCACCAATCTGCAGCACTTCCTTTTAAGATTTCGTATGCAGAAAAGGAAGACTCCGTGTGTCTGCACGTGCCTGATTTCAAGCTGCTCCAAGGGTTGGTTTGGTTGGCCACTCGTGTGTCGAGTACACGGCCGTAGGCTAACCTCACGGGTAAGGTGAACCAACACAACATGCTACAGGAGATAAGATGCAATTTGCGAACGCTGCAAGACAGCGTAGTTACGCTTCGAGAAACGATTGGAGTTACACTCTGCCGGGTATTCCCACAGCTACAGTGAGTAGCGCATCAACCCATGCTCCTTTGCCCGCTCACCCGAGGTCACATTCTTAGACGAAATTAGTCAGCAGGAACTCGCCCGAAACGCACTGCCTAAACACTGACACGCGCGCCACCCCAAGCCTGGCACAGCTACAAAATCCCCGGTAATGACACGTTGCTAAGCTGTATTTCCACTCAGGAGCTCGCCAACTTTTTATTTAAGGACAGCAAAAATCTTTGGGGCCGCCTGCGTAGAAGTTAAGTTGCGAAGGTAAAGTCATCACCAGTGAATACTATGGAACAACAAGTCCTGGACTTACGCAATGGTCAACGCACTTCCAGAAGTCGAAGTACTGCCCGCTGCAATGAGCTTGCCCCGTGGTGTCGCTCTTGATGCGCTCAGCGCAAGCCTGTTCCGACACGCGATTGCCCAACAGGCGTGAGAAGTTCGTGCGCCACATTTTGGGAGCAGTGGCAAACCCTTCATGATCAGCATCATTTATTTTAAAACACTGTTATCGGCACAACGTGCCTTGTGCGCCAAGCTCCCATACCTTGTAGGCCGCCCACTCCTTCACGCAGTGCACCTTGCAGTCCTCCTCAATCTGGGAAAATGGATCGCGTGAAATTAATCAACACCGCATACAACCTTAGCAATAGGAGAGAAGGTCAGCCCCCGATTGATTGCTTCCCTGGCTGAGGCCACACACCTACCTTGGGCTTTGGGTCATCCTCAGAGTACTCAACCCTGTAGACAGAACAGTATCAGGACTCAGCATATCATCCGGTTTACACGCGTGTAAAAAAGGCACAGTAACCTACATTTTGTTAGGAAGACTTGCACAAGGGCAATGCTTGCGGACCAAGAAACTGTCAAGGTCTGTGCCAAGTCTCCGCGTATGCGCAGTGGAGGATTACCACCGCAGTCTACGGCAGTTGTCGTGCAAAGGGTTGACGGTCCCAACGGCTTCACCTTCTCCTTAAGCTATTGTAAGGCCAGGAAGCTTGAGCTTAAACATGAAGGAAGACACAACCAGTTTCCTGCAAAGTTATTTCATCTTTAAAAACAACCTGTTTTAATTGTGGTCTTGACCCAGCCTGTGCATAGTCCGTTGGGACTGCTCGTTTTTTAGTAACATGAACAGGATTTGATTACAATTGGGCCGACTTGTGCCTATGATTTAGGAGCCCGCGTCTAGCAGACTCTACTAGCGTCTTGCCAGGCACGGGCGCTGGCTTCATAGCCATGGGCAAAAACCAAGGTACAAAGTGCATGCTGTAACTGTGTCGGACCATTCAAGGGTGCATAAGATATGGGGGTTTGCCTCGCAGCGCACAAGGCGATGCAGCGCTCGCGTTATGCGGGCGGTGGAAGCGGCGAGGAAAGCGGAGCTGCAGGCTTTAGTGACGGCTTAAAAGACGTGACTTTCCATACGGCGGAGTGGCATGCAGGTAGGCCCTTCCCGTCGCCATCCTGTGAGCTTAAGCCATCACAGTGACTGCACGATAACCTTAATCCCCCCGCTAGCTCCTCTGCCTCGCATGTGGGTCACCCAGTGACGAGTTCTAACCTACATGCGTGTGGGGACATAGCCTAACTTAGTCTACTGCTCCGGTTAAGGCGCGGCAACGGGCGTAACGGGTAGCTGTCGGCGTTGTAAGGCCTCTTGGCTCCTCGTCTTCGTTAAGCATGAGCGAGGTCTCTCTCCTACCACCTCAATTACCCCCCAAGCACATGCTGTGCATGGCGTGCGACGAATTCTACGTGCCAGCTCCAGGATAGGTCTCGATTACCCTCTCTCCTGCGTTGCGGTTTCCGCATCTCCTTTTCCTTTATAAGGATGACAAAGCTCAAGCAGACAAGAATTTATGCCTAACTTTCCCTGCGCATGTAAATCCTTCCACGTGTTCCTTACGACCCATGGCACCTGATCCCGTTCCCTACGTGGCCCATCTCTCGCCAGCCCGCATCGCGGCACTTCAAGTAGAGCGGATGCCCTGGGAGGAGTGGCGGCAAAAGCAAAAGGAGGTACGCACCCCGGCCTCACGATCCATCCACCATTGTGGCTGTCTTTGACCAGTTTAGTTTCGTAGCCGGCATCCTGAACTTTTGGGTATTCATACCCGGTGCTAAATTTTGGTTTCTACTGGCTTCACGCCCTGCCCCGCAGGCTGAGGGGAAGCTCGCAGCGGCCGCGGAGGAGGAGGAACGCCTTATGCGTAGGTGTAGGGCTTTGGTTTTGGGGCTCCGGTTCACGAAGGAAGGCGCGGAGGAGGGTGAGGGTGAGAACCCTGGGCAATGCCAGAATGTTGACAATGCGGGGCTGCTGTCTCACGGTCTCGTGGCTAGGGCTTTGTGATCAGATCAAGGGAAATCGCCTTTTTCCGCTTCTTTCTAGGCGTGTAGCTGGCTACCCAACCGCGCGTTCTTATGTACCGCTTCGCCTCGCCTCTTCCCTGTCCTGCCTCATGGTCCTTCCCCCGGCCCCAAGGGGAGTACAGGTCCCAGTTGGACGCGGACCGCGCGAAGCTGCTTGCCCGGGGGCGTAACCACGCGGACCTGGCCAAGGAGCTGAAGAAGGACAAAAAACGTGAGCGTTGAAAGCTGGCTGACCAACGGGGTGGACGGTCCATTGGTAGGCCTTGAAATTGTAGGGCGTAGGATGATGAAGCCCAACCTACCTCTCACTATCGGGGTGGGTTGTCTTTTCCCCACCGAACATGAGGCCGGTGGCGGTGGTGAATGAAGCCTTTATGTGTTTCCGTATCCGCAGTCAGGCCTGGAGCTTACTTTGTCCAATTTGCCCATTTACACCGCCTCACGCACTGCAGGCAAGCGGAAGGACGGTAAATCTGAGAAGAAGAGCAAGAAGACTAAGAAGGAGAGCAAAAGCAAGAAGGTGGGTGTGAGGTGTGCTGGGTCGTGGAAGCGCCAGCCGCAGCGTCGGCGAAAAACCTGACCCGGAACGGAACGTACTTATCCAGGGTGCAGCTAATAGGCCCTTGTCATTGAAGTGTCACGCCTGCAGTGTCGGGTTTGAAATCTGTTGGACAACAGCATGGCCATGGACCTGATTGCCTTCCCGATCTTTCGACACGGAAGGAGGTCGACGCCCTTCCGTGTGGACGCCTGGCAAAGTTATCATTGCCCTTCCTGTAAGCTGTAAACGCTCAGGCCTCCCGAGTTGCTAGCTCCTTCGCCACACTCATGTCATGTACAAAGGAACAAACGAGCAAATCTGTCTTGTGTCGGCAGAAGAAGAGCAAGAAGAGCAAGCGGCGGCGGACGAGCAGTGGCAGCAGCAGCGATAGCAGCGGTAGCAGCAGCAGTAGTAGCGACAGCGATGACTCAGACACAGAGGCGGAAGAGGACAACGACGCCAATAAGCCGATGCGCCTTTCAGACTGGCTTAAAATGTAAGGCAGGTCGCGGTTACTATGCTACGCCTTATCCTGCACGAAATGCCATGTCAGGGGATCCGCTTACACATTCGGCACGTCGGGCCAGGGTCGGCGCTACATAGCAGTGTAGAGCTAGGGAGGTAAGCCCTCTGAGCGGCATCCGCACCGGCGGTTGGCGACGCCTTGGGTGACAGCCATCTGTTGTGGGGTTTCATGAGACTGCATGGTTGGATGATTGATGTAATGCATCAAGTAGCCACAGAATTGTAGGTGAGGGGTTTTCCACTAACACGGTAATGCATGCGACAGCATTGGTACTTATGACGGTGACACTCCCATGCATTGAGTTCGGTTTTAGAGCTAGGCTTTGAGGAGAGGCCATGGGTGATGGTGGTAGGGGTTTCTGAGGCGTGCATAGCTGGAGCAAGCTTGTACCTAGGAGAGATCCAAGGGAAGCAGGAAGTGGGTCCCCCACTGGTTCTATACGTGCACCTTTGTGGCGGATGGGGTACTAGCAAGCGCATGAAGGTCAACACAGTACATGGGGCTGTGCTTCATAAGCTCCTGTGTTAATCCTTGCGTCTGCCAAGCTGCACGAGCTTTCCCAGGGGGATATCGTGCTTCACTGGAGTTCAGCCTAACTGAAGCAACCTGGAAATGTTTATCCCCGCTGGCCTGGCAAGCAGTTCTTAGATCAGAGTGCAGACAGTCAGCCTGCAGCAGTTATGAGGGCTGGTGAGCATAATCGGATGAGAAAGGGGTTGAACAGCCTGGGGCTGTCGGAGGGGTCGTGGTCCCTTCATCCGTTTGAACTTCAACCGCCAGCTGACAACTGTTCCATCAGTCAGCCTTGTCTGCCCTTTTGGGGCCCTGGCTCGGATGGACGCGTTACACGTTTGGCCTGTACGCCCCCTGTTGAACTTCTTGGGACGTTGTGTAGGGGAAATTCCAAAGGACCCCTGCAGTTGAGTGTCCGCACAGGGCTGCATATGAGTGTCCGCAAGACTGGCCATTAGTAGGTTTGGTTGGTGTGTGAAGTGCTGGTGTTGCATGCATCATCCCACTCTGTGGCAGAGGCTTTTGGACAAACCACCTGTGTTTCTGATGATGCCATTGCTAGGGTGAGGGCCTATTCTGAATCGACGTTTCATGTGTTGTCGTTGACAGCACTTCGGACAGCCCAACTGAGACACCAATGGCTTTGTCAGGTCCTTTTTATGCCCATGGGTTTGAATTCATGCATGTAAGCCTGATGCATGTGAGACTTGCACCTCCCTATGGCATGAAAGGGTCGGAAACAGACTGGTTAGCTACAACCCAACCAGTTGCATCGGATGGCAAGTTAATATTTTACGCTATCTGAGCACGGAGGGACAGGAAGGACCCGGGAGCCAATTCTGTCATGGAATGCACAGTGCTGGAGGCAGGTAATGCCTTACACGGCAAGGTGTTACAAGACAAGGCGTTACACGCTGCAGCTGCCGTACTGGCCAGCAAACATGTGTTCCCCCACCTTTACCAGAATATTACCTAGTTTCGTCTGGTCCCGATATTATATGTTTCCTCACCTTTCCATATTATTGGGACTCCATGACATGGCCGTACACGTGCACTGAAGCCGTACACGAGTACCAGAATTTGCCAGTACACAAGAAAACCCTAAGAGAAAAACATATGTTATGGCTACTGGTTTGGGCAAGTGCAAGGAAGATAATTGTTGCTTTCCTATCAATTGCGGAAGCGTTGTGAATTTAGCCACTTGATCAAAGCAAAGGACGAATAAGAACCGTCAGCAGAGATGGTTGACGCCATGCGAGCGATGCTGGATGAGCTCATGGGGAAGGAGCGGAACGTGCCCCTTGGCCAGCGCTCAAATCGGAGGATTCGGTTCGACGACCCCAGTGTTTGCAAATACGCCCTAGCGGGCCTTTGTCCTAATGGCTTGTTCAAGAATACTCGAAGCGACTTAGGTAAGAAAGAGCTGCTTATGTTGGGCTTATGTTTTGGACAACTTTTCTGTGATGCGGCCGCTACGAGAATCTCTTGTAGGACCGTGTCCATATGAGCTTCACGAGGACCATATAGGATGGGAAGAATTGAAGGCAGAATACGATAAGCAGGACCCTCGTGAGCACGAAAGGTGAGCGGAATCTTGAGTTTGGTCCGTGTTGTACTGGTAAACTGTGCTATGGGTCTGCTTGTGTAGCTGTTGTTTAGTATCTACATTTCATATTTCTTTCTGTAGGTACGAGCGGCGGCTTATGAAGGTGCTTGAGGACCTCATTCGGGAAATGGACCGGAAGATAGCCAAATCCAAGGAGCGAGCAGAGGCTGAGAGCAGTGCACGTCCGTTGAAGCCAGACGACGCGGCGCGCCTGGCCGAGATGCAGACCAAAGCCAAAGGTACGTCAACGCCGCTCGGGCACAGGCGGTTGGGGTTGGTGCCGGTTCCGGCACATGGAGACGGCATGACGGAGCCACCGCTTGCGCCCTGACCCCCAAACACCCTGCCCCGTTCTGTCGCTGTGCAGAGCTGCTGCAAAAGAGCCAAGAGGCCGGTGAGGCTGGCGACGTGGACGTTTCCATGGCGCTGGCTCAGCAAGCGCAGGAAATGCAGGCTCAGCATGACCGGCTGCACCGCAGCCTAACTGCGCCCGACCGCACCATGAGCGTGTGCGACATCTGCGGCGTCTTCATCAACAGTACGGACAATGACCAGCGGCGGCAGGTACGTTCCACAGCCCAGCCAAGCCCAAGTATGTTGGCGGCGCAGGTAAGTATGGATGGGCCCGCCTCCGTGCACATACTTGTACTCGGGTGCTTTGAAGGCCTTACGCGAGGGGCAAGCGACATCGTGTGAACGCAGACGTAGCGTCAGCATCAGCAACACCGCTTAGTTTTCCTTTGTATTTCCGGGGCGTTGCCAGTATCCGAGTAGTGGCTTTCTTCAGTGCGCGACACGATGTCCTGTAGTGGGCAACCTGCCATAGAGTTGGTAGCTGCGCTTTCCCATTCCAACGTGACACTGCCTTGCATGCAGTCTCCACCTTCGTTTTGTTCCTCACGGGGTCGTATCGGCCTGGGGTGCTGGTGTTGCAGGAGCACTTGACGGGCAAGCAGTATCTGGGCTGGAAGGCCATTCGTGAAAAGTACGCGGAGCTCCAAAACAAGTTCGAACGGTCACGGTCCCGCGAGCCCGAGCCGTATGTGCGGGAGCGCAGCGTTCCGCCGCAAGTGGGGGAGGAATCTGGACACCGCAGCCGGGAGCGGGAGCGTTCCCCTGTGAGGTAAGGGACGGACCTTGGCATGAATCGTTGTGCGTGCTAACCATATTCTTGGTGATTTGTGGCGTGATACATGACAGGTCTTGATTTGTCAAGGCAGTCCTTCTGTTTGGCGTCCTTCAGTTGTTGTACTATATCCTGCATTATCCCAATTGGCTGTGATTGGCCTGTCCTGATACCCCAATCCATTCACAAAGGCGGGAGCACGACAGCCGGGAGCGCGGGACGTACGATGGCCGGGGTGGCTACGAAAGCCGGGGCCGCAGCACTCCCTATGGCGACAGACGCTACGACAGCGGTCGTGACATGGACAGCAGGTGCGTGGGCGGCATTTGGCTTAGTTATAAGCTGCCACCATAAATCATGTGCAGCTTGGTTGCGTTGTGGCATTCACACAGCTCGGGCGCCTTGCTTGGCAGCCATTCATCATTCATACTATACAGACGTATCCTTATATTGGCTGCTGAGGGAGCTCAACTTTTACTGCTTTGAGGCCCTCTGGGGCTGAGGGCGCTGTGAATACCAGCATACCAAATTTATGCCTTGCAGGCGTGATAACCGGGGGCACGACAGCCAGAGCCGGGGTTTCGAAGATTCCCGCGGGCGGGGCTATGACGACTATCGCGGCCGGGGGCACGACGACTACCGCGGCAAGGGCTACGAGGATGGTGGGCGGGGGCGGGGCTATGATGACCGGCGTGACTACGACCGGCGTGGCGACGACGGTTACAGGTCAGGATCATACGGGAGCGGCGGTAGCTACCGCGACCGGCCACGTGACGGCTACTATGAGGTAAGTATGGACAGATTGGTTTCTAACCGCATGTCGGCGTGAAGAGGCAGCGGCCTTGCCAGACTCTGCAGCAGTCGCGGTGCCCCACTCGCGCCCTGCGCTGGTGAGTCTTTGCGGTGCGGCATGCATTCATGCCACGATTGCGCGCGTGAGGGCGGTCGTGGCATTTTGGGCGAAGCGTTCGGCCTGTGCCGCGCAGCCATGGCGCGTCTGTAAAGTATGGGTATTATTGCGGGTGCTTGCCATGCGGTGCGTTCCGTGTCAATCTAGGCCACCTGCAAAGGTTTGACAGAAGACCGCAACTCTGTGGAGCTGCGCCGCACGCCGTGTTGAGGATGTGTCTGAATGATGGTCTTATCGATTGCCCACGCAGGAGAGGCGGCGATATTAGCCAGCGTTGCTTGATTGTGGGAGGTAGGCGGCACAGGAACAGTTTTGAGTTTCACTGCTGCACCACTAGCCAGTGGTCGCTGCGAAGACGAGGATATTGGTAGTCAGTACCACGTAAGAAATCAAGCTCCATCGCCGACCTGCTCTTGCAGGCTTTCATACTGCGTCGGGAGGTCAAATCCGGCCAGCAACAGGACAGCTTAGGGTGAGTTTGTGCACATGCTGTATTGATGTGAAGAGATGACTAGGAACAAGGCAGGTGAAGAGATAGGGTGGACGTATCCGGGTTGCAAAAGGCCGTTTTTGCCATTCGGATGGTCATGGGCAGTGATGACTGTATGGCTTCTCTTGAACGGTTAATCTGTAACAGTGCGTGAAATGCCATTTGCATGCAACTGTGGTTGTAAGCTAACGAGCTGACAACTGAACCGAAGCCAACTCGCCGCGCATTACAGTTCTGTGCGGTCATCAGACTGATATCCAAGGATGTCCTTTCCACACACCTGACGTGGTATCCCTAACCAGACTGTCTCGTGCACATAGCACTGTGGATCTGCGTTGCTTTCCTCCAGACTTTCTCATGGAACCATTAGGTTTTACCCTCGGAGCCGTTCGGGCCTTCTGATGTATGGTGCAGCTATTTGTCGATAGATGCAGGTCGAGCCAGTATTACAGAGCACTAGGTACAGGGCAGCAAAAATGGCAAGAGCAGGCCCCAGGCTGCCTTGGGACGGGGGGCTCTGTTTATGGCCCAGTGGGCAGGTGCGCTTAGCGGACGGTGCATTCTGCGAGCTGTTGACGCGACCGCTGCTCTGTAAGAGGCGTTGCGCGTAGTTACTATATGCGGTGGGGCCATATTAGGTGGTCATATAAGGTTTTGGGGGCCATATAAGCGGGTGGGGCCAAATAACGTTTTGCCACCATGCAGGCAGCCCAGCCCCGGCCAGGGCTGGGGAACGCAGAAGGCAAGTAAGTTATTACGTACGGAGAGAAGGACCCGGGAGGTGATTATGTCATGGCAAGCACAGTGCCAGAGACAGTTAATGCCTTACACGCCAGACAAGTCGTTACACGCTGCACCTACAGCAACATGTGCTCCCCCACCTTTGCCAAAACATTAATCTCGTTTGGTCCCATAATTGTATTTTCCTCGCGTTTCCATATTACTGGGAAACTCCATGGCATGGCCGTACACGCGCATTGAAAGCCGTACACGAGTACTGGTATTTGACAGTACACATCGCTGAATGAAGAATATACTTATGGCTACTGTTTTGAGCACGTACAAAGATTACAGCTGCTGCTTTCCTAAGAAGCGTTGTGCACTTTCCCATATACTTGATCAAAGCAAAGGACGAATAAGAACCGTCAGCAGAGATGGTTGACGCCATGCGTGCGATGCTGGATGAGCTCATGGGGAAGGAGCGGAACGTGCCCCTTGGCCAGCGCTCAAATCGGAGGATTCGGTTCGACGACCCCAGTGTTTGCAAATACGCCCTAGCGGGCCTTTGTCCTAATGGCTTGTTCAAGAATACTCGAAGCGACTTAGGTAAGAAAGAGCTGCTTATGTTGGGCTTATGTTTTGGACAACTTTTCTGTGATGCGGCCGCTACGAGAATCTCTTGTAGGACCGTGTCCATATGAGCTTCACGAGGACCATATAGGATGGGAAGAATTGAAGGCAGAATACGATAAGCAGGACCCTCGTGAGCACGAAAGGTGAGCGGTATCTTGAGTTTGGTCCGTGTTGTACTGGTAAACTGTGCTATGGGTCTGCTTGTGTAGCTGTTGTTAGTATCTACATTTCATATTTCTTTCTGTAGGTACGAGCGGCGGCTTATGAAGGTGCTTGAGGACCTCATTCGGGAAATGGACCGGAAGATAGCCAAATCCAAGGAGCGAGCAGAGGCTGAGAGCAGTGCACGTCCGTTGAAGCCAGACGACGCGACGCGCCTGGCCGAGATGCAGACCAAAGCCAAAGGTACGTCAACGCCGCTCGGGCACAGGCGGTTGGGGTTGGTGCCGGTTCCGGCACATGGAGACGGCATGACGGAGCCACTGCTTGCGCCCTGACCCCCAAACACCCTGCCCCGTTCTGTCGCTGTGCAGAGTTGCTGCAAAAGAGCCAAGAGGCCGGTGAGGCTGGCGACGTGGACGTTTCCATGGCGCTGGCTCAGCAAGCGCAGGAAATGCAGGCTCAGCATGACCGGCTGCACCGCAGCCTAACTGCGCCCGACCGCACCATGAGCGTGTGCGACATCTGCGGCGTCTTCATCAACAGTACGGACAATGACCAGCGGCGGCAGGTACGTTCCACAGCCCAGCCAAGCCCAAGTATGTTGGCGGCGCAGGTAAGTATGGATGGGCCCGCCTCCGTGCACATACTTGTACTCGGGTGCTTTGAAGGCCTTACGCGAGGGGCAAGCGACATCGTGTGAACGCAGACGTAGCGTCAGCATCAGCAACACCGCTTAGTTTTCCTTTGTATTTCCGGGGCGTTGCCAGTATCCGAGTAGTGGCTTTCTTCAGTGCGCGACACGATGTCCTGTAGTGGGCAACCTGCCATAGAGTTGGTAGCTGCGCTTTCCCATTCCAACGTGACACTGCCTTGCATGCAGTCTCCACCTTCGTTTTGTTCCTCACGGGGTCGTATCGGCCTGGGGTGCTGGTGTTGCAGGAGCACTTGACGGGCAAGCAGTATCTGGGCTGGAAGGCCATTCGTGAAAAGTACGCGGAGCTCCAAAACAAGTTCGAACGGTCACGGTCCCGCGAGCCCGAGCCGTATGTGCGGGAGCGCAGCGTTCCGCCGCAAGTGGGGGAGGAATCTGGACACCGCAGCCGGGAGCGGGAGCGTTCCCCTGTGAGGTAAGGGACGGACCTTGGCATGAATCGTTGTGCGTGCTAACCATATTCTTGGTGATTTGTGGCGTGATACATGACAGGTCTTGATTTGTCAAGGCAGTCCTTCTGTTTGGCGTCCTTCAGTTGTTGTACTATATCCTGCATTATCCCAATTGGCTGTGATTGGCCTGTCCTGATACCCCAATCCATTCACAAAGGCGGGAGCACGACAGCCGGGAGCGCGGGACGTACGATGGCCGGGGTGGCTACGAAAGCCGGGGCCGCAGCACTCCCTATGGCGACAGACGCTACGACAGCGGTCGTGACATGGACAGCAGGTGCGTGGGCGGCATTTGGCTTAGTTATAAGCTGCCACCATAAATCATGTGCAGCTTGGTTGCGTTGTGGCATTCACACAGCTCGGGCGCCTTGCTTGGCAGCCATTCATCATTCATACTATACAGACGTATCCTTATATTGGCTGCTGAGGGAGCTCAACTTTTACTGCTTTGAGGCCCTCTGGGGCTGAGGGGGCTGTGAATACCAGCATACCAAATTTATGCCTTGCAGGCGTGATAACCGGGGGCACGACAGCCAGAGCCGGGGTTTCGAAGATTCCCGGGGGCGGGGCTATGACGACTATCGCGGCCGGGGGCACGACGACTACCGCGGCAAGGGCTACGAGGATGGTGGGCGGGGGCGGGGCTATGATGACCGGCGTGACTACGACCGGCGTGGCGACGACGGTTACAGGTCAGGATCATACGGGAGCGGCGGTAGCTACCGCGACCGGCCACGTGACGGCTACTATGAGGTAAGTATGGACAGATTGGTTTCTAACCGCATGTCGGCGTGAAGAGGCAGCGGCCTTGCCAGATTCTGCAGCAGTCGCGGTGCCCCACTCGCGCCCTGCGCTGGTGAGTCTTGCGGTGCGGCATGCATTCATGCCACGATTGCGCGCGTGAGGGCGGTCGTGGCATTTTGGGCGAAGCGTTCGGCCTGTGCCGCGCAGCCATGGCGCGTCTGTAAAGTATGGGTATTATTGCGGGTGCTTGCCATGCGGTGCGTTCCGTGTCAATCTAGGCCACCTGCAAAGGTTTGACAGAAGACCGCAACTCTGTGGAGCTGCGCCGCACGCCGTGTTGAGGATGTGTCTGAATGATGGTCTTATCGATTGCCCACGCAGGAGAGGCGGCGATATTAGCCAGCGTTGCTTGATTGTGGGAGGTAGGCGGCACAAGAACAGTTTTGAGTTTCACTGCTGCACCACTAGCCAGTGGCCGGGGTTTCTTATTACCGACTCTGTCAATCGGCCACGTAGCTTCTTTGCAGGATTCTATTTGTTAGCTTTACAGTGCGGCATGGGGTGAGTTGGGGGTAGTGTTTTTCGCTTTGCTTATGGTGTTGTTGTTTCGACTAGCAAAGAATCCACGGGAGTTTTGCGACTATATTTATTGTCGGTTTGCAAATTCACAAGATGTTGGACGGTTAAAGGAATGAAGGGACATTGATTGCGTGCTTATTGGTTGCGTGCAAGGATTGTATGTCGGCGGTTGCCGTAACGGGCAATTTCAGATATAGTGTTTTGCACTGCGGTGTGTAGACTGGACAGCGCCGAAGGTTACCTCTTGAAAGGCCAGGCGTGAAAGGCCAGGCTTGCAAATTTCGTTGCGAGCGCTCTGAAAGAGGGGCGTCAGATTTCCGGACTATCACACAACTTTGTAACCTTACATCGTCGGCGCTTTATCATTACTTGGGCGGGGCGGCTTGAGGGCAGCAATTGCGGAGGATAGCGGGCTGAAGGGTAACGGGCTGGCTATCTTTGAAAATTACCAAGCGGAGTCCAAAAATTCAGGATGTTTTTGAGGCTGGAAATGAACCTTGCAGTGCTAAGTTGTTCGTGCTGGCACAGCGGCATTACTTAAGCACAGATTGCTTTTCGTAACAGTACTCTATCCTTAGGAGAGAGTTCGTCAGCGGGGAGCTGCGGAATCAACTTTCACGGGGAACAGCTCCGTGCAGGCGAAACGGTTTGTGCAACCGTTGAAACGATCAACCAAAAGCACCGTAACGTAATGAATTGATGATATCTCGAAAGATTTAAGACAACTCCGAGAGTAGAGCTGGGTCGGGTTTCGGGAATTCCAGGACAGCTGAAGCTTCATTGCTTTTGGCCGGAATCCTTCCTTGCATCCTTGCTGTATAATTAGGACGGGATATGGACCAATGTGCTCTTACTCCTTGTCCTGCTCTTGCTTCTAAGCCCCCGTGCGACGCGACTGCCTTTCGGAGTGAACCAGCCTGTCTACCGCTGATACCGTATGTTTGTCCCTACTTTCAAATGGTGTTTCATTTTGTCGTCGCTGCCGCTCGTGCTTTGCACAATCAATTAAGCGGCTTTACGATGGGGTTCAACTTTCGCGGTGGGGAGACTGGCCTCCCAGCCTGGGAGTCCCAGGTCCGTCTGTGCCGTACGACCTCTTCCACACATGTGAACACCAAGCGTCCATTAAGCATACCATTACCTGTATATCGACAGATGTGGCCTGGCATATCTAAGGAGGCTTACCTTTTGCCTTGAGACGAGGGTTAAAGAATATATACTCGCGCGCCTACGCGCACTTATCATTTGTAGGCCATAGACGTTTGTTTGTTTTCACTGTCTATACCAGGACATCTTCGCTGGGGTCGTTAGAACGCAACGCACGTCACCAGCGCGTCTACGCGTGTCGCCCAGGCGATAGCGCAAGTCTAAGTGAGACACACAATGAAAGATCATAATACATGTATGCCGTGATGTGAGCAGCTTTGAAAATGCTAGGCCTTGCCTTTCTCCAGCCCTAGTAGTGAGTAGGTTTTATAGCCACATCAGTTCGCGGCTATCAATGGTGCATCAGCTTGAACCCAAGAAGTCAGTAGGCACCACAAGGGCGAGTCGGTTGTCTCGGTGCCCTCAGCACTCTTCGCTGCGCGGAGTGGTGCCGCTCCCGCGACGACAGCCCACCAGTCGACCGGCACCTCACGCCCACCTTTCCTTGGCTTCTGGAGTGCCACTTGTCATTGGATGGAGTCACAACCTTACCTCGGGCAAGTTGCAAAAGGGCCACCAAGTCGCGCAGGCGAACATTCACCATTTCCCGAGCCGTTGGCCCACCGTTGCGGCTTTCCTTTGCATTACAGTGTAGCGCAGATGCCGTTGGACTCGCTCGGGTGCCTCGTTTGCCCGGCTGGGCCGCCCGTGTTTCGACACAGGTGTCGCGCTGGGGTCAGGCACACGGCGCGGCTCTGGAAGCCACCCTCCAGCTCATCCTCCTCATGAGGCACTGGCCTTAAAGCTCGCCATATCTCACCTCTCTTCTCCGTACCACACGACACCTCACTTGGCCTGTCCGGGGCATGTCATCCCACTCACAACAGCTCCTCGACTCTCCCCGACTTTCCCCCCCCCCCCGCTGCCCCACACCCTTTTACCTTTCCCCCGGGCGTCCCAACAAACCTAAAACCCACCCCAGGTGCCTACCACGGCGCCAGCCTATGGTTCACGACTCTCTGCGCCCTGTCCGTGGCGCTGGGTGCACTGTCGTACAATCTGATGGCGGTGCTAGCCGAGTTTTTTAACTTTGACCGTCGCGCTCAGCAAGTGCAGTCCCGCACCTATCTGCACGGGGTCGATGTGACCAGCAGCCGCTTCTTCCAGCTGCCCTCCGTGCTGGCCGCGGTGGCATTTGCAGCGGAGGCCCATGCCCACCAGCGCCGTAAGACGGGGGAGCCCTACGTGACGCACTGCATTGAGACGGCGCTCATCGTGGAGGCGTGTCTGCCACTGGCACACAGCGCGGCGGAACAGGAGAGGTGAGCAAGGGGGGTGGGGAGGGGAGGCGATGAGCTCCTCCTGGGCGCCACGGAGCGGGGGGGGGGTAGGGGGGAATCACAAACAGTGCTCAGAGTTGGTACTGTCTGAGCCAGCGGCTACGGCGACACTCGGCTTACCGCCTGCAACTGGGCCTAGTGGGAGCTGCTGCCTTTAGCTTTTCATATACACACACCTCACACCTCTTGTTCATGTTCCTAATTCGGCCACACCCGGCCCAGACATCAGCGTGTGTGGGTATGTGATATCCCGTCAGCGGCAATGTGCTGTTCTTCACATCTCCCCCTAAGGGATGAGCCCTCTCACCGTCAGCCGGCGGCCCGGCGGGGTGTCGTATCCGCTTGCCGAGTTCAGCGCGGTCCGACCTCTCCTGCGCGTCCATCTAGGGCACCTCACACCGCAACTGGCTGCTAAGACCTACCGCCTTCTTTCCCGTCCCGTCTTGTCTCGTCCCGGGCGCGTTCTGCCCTTCCTTGCCTCCCCCTTTCTCCCCCCGTCCTGCCCGCGCCCGCCACCCCAGACACGTGTCCTGCATCATGGCTGCCGTACTGCACGACGTGATTGACGACACACCCACCGACCTGTCAGCCATGCA